TTGTGATTTAATTTTATGAATTGGATTTGCGTATTTATATATCGTGTTTTGAATTTATGACTTGGATTTGTATATTTATGAATTGTGATTTAAATTTACGAACTGGATTTGCATATTTATATATTGTGTTTGGAATTTACAAATTAGATTTGCATATTACGGAATTGTTTTGAATTTAAGAATTGGATTTGCGAATTTATGAATTGTGATTTGATTTTACGAATTGGATTAGCATATTTATGAATTGTGATTTGATTTTACGAATTGGATTAGCATATTTATGAATTGTGATTTGATTTTACGAATTGGATTTGCATATTTATGAATTGTGATTTGAATTAAAGAATTGGATTTGCGAATTTATGAATTCGGATTTGATTTTACGAATTTATTTAGCGTATTTTATAATTGTGATCTGAATTTATGAATTGTGATTTGAATTTCCGATTAAAATGGTGTTAATGGGATGTGTTCAATGAGTGTTGCAACTGACCAATGAGGATCAAGTATTCCAGACAGCCGTGTTATAATAACAAATATAACATAACTCGTGCTATCTCAGGTTGTTTTATTGTACACATCCGAGCAGAGAATGGCTGAGTGGTTCAGCCAGCTAGGAAGAAAAGGTGAAAACAGGGGCCCAGAGATTTCTGTATTGCATATACATGTCATCAGCTGTGTCTGAAAACAGATATATTTTTTGGTTGAACTGAAAACTGTGTAGCGAAGGTGCATTTCGTAATCTTTCTATCTTTGGTTGCCATGGACACTTGCGAAGTTCGTCATTATGAACAGCGAAGATGAAAAGACAAGGTTTTCCCTCTTCCCCCCCACAGTTACCAATACTTTTGGGAAGAAAAGGACGCCTCTCGACTCGAACTGATGTAATCTTCAGACACAAGCAGAATGCGACCCTCGCTCTATTGAAGAGGAGAACAAAAAACACGATCAATTACTCATTTAAACTAACAAGAGAGCCACCATTAAACGAACTGTCATGATCTTGATAGTGAAAGAGCCGATAATCAATGTAAAACAAGAGCGTATAATGACGTAGATCTGTTCAGATGCATTTTTTAAATGGCATGAGAGTAGTGCTGCATTTGTAGCTGCAATAACTGATTGGTAATTATTACAGATGTTTTGAAACATTTGAGTGAATACATAGGCCCAAACCCAGATAATTAATATGAGCTTCAATTAAATATGGATTATAAAATACAAAACTCTGGAACTATTTTACTAATTCAAGCCCAACGTTCATGATCAATACAATAAAGACATAGGAACTTTATATCATTATTTATGGAAGAATTTGGGGAAAAGTTCTGATCTTTTTATCCTTGGTACTGAAACAGAATATTCCTGAAAGCACTAAATTATCCCAGCAGACACCTCGGGCTCTATTTTGAAGATCTAGGTGCATAGTCTAAAGTGCATGGCGCAAAAGCATTAAGGGGTGTCCGAATTTACTTTTGCTGTTACATCTCACGTTTCCTTTATGAGTCAGTTGCTTCGCACCATGCTCATTTGCTATTTACATGGTGAACTTTGTAAATGGAAAACCTGAACGCTTGACTATCGAGAAAACAGTTAAACAGCATCTGCAGCGCAAGGATAAAGAACGAGCCTGCTCCATTCAGCCTCTTTACTTTCTCTTTACTTTATTTTTCCTCTTTACTCTTTTACTTTGGTGGAGTAAGGAAACGGTGGAAACTCACTCCACTGAAAACATCCATTAGCCTACATATGTTATTTTGCAAAACTATTTCGAAATTCAGTTCTACATGACATTAAAAAAAGTGTTAAAAATGCTAATCGAAATTGATGTCAAAACCTTTATGTCTTTTTGACATTCACACACTGATGGCTTTTGACCAGCAAAATAATGATACAAAAATAGGCAAATATAATGTGTGTATTTATATATAGGTTTGATATTTTCCCCATTTTTTCCTTTGTTTGTTTTGTTTTTGTGTTAAAAGGTTCTAAAATCAATAAAGATCATATAAAAACAAAAATGTTAATAGCTTAAATCATTCACAACGTCTATAGTAATATTACGAATAACTGATGAACAATATAGTATATATATACTATATTGTATATAGTATGCAAGGAATTTTTTCACAGAATTTCCTATAATGTTATTTCTTCTAGCGAAAGTCTTATTTGTTTTTTTCGGCTAGAATAAAACCAGTTTTTATTTTTAAAAATTAAAAATAAAAACATGTTAGGGTCAATTTTATAGCCTCATTAAGCAATATTTGTTTTCAATTGTCTACAGAACAAACCACTGTTATACAATGACTTGCCTAATAATTACCCTAACTTTACCCCAGTTAACCTGGTCAAGCCTTTAAATGTCATTTAAGCTGTATAGAAGTGTCTTAAAAATATCTAGTAAAATATAATGTGCTGTCATCATGGCAAAGAGAAAAGAATTCAGTTATTAGAAATGAGTTATTATAATGATGATGTTTAGAAATGTGTTTTAAAAAAAATCTGCTCTGTTAAAACAAACTGAGGAAATATATATATTCCTCTCTCTTATGTCTTATGTTTAAATATTGAACACTGGTAGTAACTGACTATTATGTTATTGAATAACAGACAGTTCCCCCTGTTTTAAATATATTATGTCTCATTCAGGTATATTCTTGTGGTTGTCAAATAGGTTTGCCTGTCTTTGTTTGAAAGGATTGGGGCAGCATCTACAGGCTACAGAGAGAACTGCTGATATCAGAATCTGCTCCTGCTCTTTGAATTGCAATGTTGGAGAGTCCAATAATATCCAGCTGCAGGCCCGCAGAACCACACACGTTTTAGGCACACACAATCTAGGCAAACCACATATGGTAACTAACTCTTTAGCATTATCGCCACCTATTGAATTTCACAAATATGGTTTCCCATTTCAGTCATTATTATTATTATATCGTAATGATAATTTTAACATCTCTGCAGTTTCTGAACTCAAATTATGTAAATAGAAATAATTGGTTAAAGACATTTATGACTTTATTCATGTGTCCATATACACAAAGAAAACATAATAGACCGTCTAATTGTTGGATTAAGTGTAATAAACTAATTTAACTTCCTAATATTATCACACTTGGTTAAAATCCCTTTGTCGTAAAATATAAAAAGCAAACAATAATATGTCACTTTAAAATAAATTATCCTACTAGTAAATCATTTAAACAACATATATATATATATATATATATATATATATATATATATATATATATATATATATATATATTTTTTTTTTTTTTTTATAGTTTAAACTGATTATCTTAACTGATTATAATTATAGTTTATATATAAACTACTATCTTTATATATATATAAACATATATATCATATCTTTCTATATATATATATATGTGTGTGTGTGTGTGTATGTGTGTGTGTGTGTGTGTGTGTGTGTGTGTGTGTGTGTGTGTGTGTATGTACTTATGAGTTTTTTATTATTAATAGTTAATTTGTTCCTATTTGTTTTCTTATTACTTTAGTATTAAATTAAATGTGGGAAATCATTGATTAAAAGTTTATTATAAAATTAAGCTGATAAACACTATTAAATAGCATTAGTAAAATATTAATGTAGTGTTCTACATTTGTTACATGTAAAAAGATTTTTATTACATATAATGTATTATTGCCTATATTAACTTGCTATTATTTCCTTCATCATAAATTAATCCATTTTATAAATTAAACCTGTCCAAATTAGATCATTCAGCAAGGCCAGCAAACGAGTATTTGCCATATAATTGTCAGATAATAATGACTGATCAGCTATGATGACTGATAAAAAACTGTTCACTCTACTATATTGAATGGCGATCGGAAACAATGCTCCCCATTCAGCCGTCTCGATTGCAATATTTGTGAAATAAAGTAAAGTAAACACTATTGTTTATTGTGTACAATATTTATTAATCATATATATCGATGACGATGTTCAAAAAGACGTTAATAACATTCAACAATCAATCAAGCAATCAACATGGGTGGACAGCAACTTTAGCATGAGCAATCTTAACCGCATCCAAGAGCACTTTAGAAAGAGTTACAGCTATTATGAAGCGCTGTACAAGGAATCTTTTGATGCACGCAGTAGACCAACTGGGACAAGTCATTGTACTTACACATTTTCACACCAAATCGACTAACCTTTTCCCTGAAGATGAAAACACTGAAACAAAAAAGCGACTAAAGTCAGTGAAAAGACACTGGAGAAAAATTAAGCAAGAAGATTTATGGCCACACTTATGGCTTAGTGGTTAGCACTGTCACCTCGTAGCAAGAAGGTCGCTGGTTTGAGTCCCCGCTGGGCCAGTTGGCATCTCTGTGTAGAGTTTGCATGTTCTCCCAGTGTTGGCGTGGGTTTCCTCTAAATAGCCACTAAACTGACAAAACGTAAAATAGTAAAATTTCCTCGTGAGATCACCTCAGTGTGCAGGGCTTCCTACAGGTTTGAAATATACTTGCAGTGGTAACGTTAGCCGGATTGTAAAACACCTTTTCCCACAGCACATAAATGGTCCACTACATGCGACAAACAAAAAATAATGTGATTTCTAACTTGATTTTTATTTATTATGACACTGTTATACACTTTTTTGTCAATGGGTTAAAGTTATTTTAAAAAAGCTGTTGAAATAATAGATTGTATGTAGGCATTATAAAATAATCTAGCTCTGCAACGAGGTGGTAATAAGGTGACTTTATGAAGTAAATTATTCAGTTTAATTGAATTACACTCCGTAAAGATCAGTGTAAAATAAAAATAAATCTATCAAACTTCATATAATAATGCATATGATGATAATGAAGCCATTGAACTAAAAACTTTTTGTTTCGTGTGTGATGCACAATAAGTTTTCCGCGGAACCTTCAGGAGGAACCACGTTCTACTGAACTTGTTTCCGCACGGAGGTGTGAGACTCGCAACCCATAAGAAGCGAGGAAAGCCGCACGCCATTGTATGAATTTCTTGCTTTCAAGTCTGTTTAGTTTCATTTTATTAAGGATTTAAGTGCTGCTTGATTTTGAAATCTACTGTTACACAGAATACAGTTTTTAAAATAGGCGTTTTACTTTAAAAAGAAGGACATGGCAACAGATTCGTGGGCCCAGGCTGTCGATGAACAAGAAGCTGCAGCGGAATCGGTGAGTTTAGCGAAAATACAGCGCATTAACGTTACTAAACTAAGTTACTGAATAGTCAACCTTTTGCCAAATATAACTTTCTCAATCTTAAAAAAGACTGTCTAGATTTTAGCTTTATATAGTTGAACATTTAATATGAGATTTTAATATTGGTGACCTAACATTAAGCTCTTTATCAAAACTTTAAATAAGCATAACTTAAGTATAGTCAATAGTGTTGCTGTACTAATATTGTGGTTGCTTTTCTGTATTATGTATTTAATACGTTGACCCATTAGAATCTTTAAAATGACTCCGAATGTTACCTTAATAAAGAGGTTTGTTGTTAGTCTAACTCGGGGGTTCCAAACTCTATCCTAGAGGGCCAGTGTCCTGCAAAGTTTAGTTCCAACCCCAATCAGAAACACCTGGGCTAGCTATTCAAGATGGGTAAAGTTGGTTTTATATTCGGATATTCACCATAATAATATAATTATAGAAAAGTTTTCTAAATGGGGAAATCATATTAGCAGCAAATGACTATCAAAGTACAACATTGTCCACAGTGAATTAGATCGTGTTAATGTTGTTTAGAAGTCATACTTGCGTGCTAATTTCGTTAGAATTTTCAAAGTAACATGGTAAACAATATAGAGACTGTTAAATGATGGAATGTGCAAATATAAAACCAACTTTACCTCCATCTAATCAAGCTCTTACTAGGCTATCTAGAAACATTCATGCAGGTTTGTTGAGGCAAGTTGGAATTAAAATCTGCAGGACACCGGCCCTCCAGGACCAGGTTTGGGCACCAAGGATCTAACTATAGACCAGGGGTGTCCAAACTCGGTCCTGGAGGGCCGGTGTCCTGCATAGTTTTGTTCCAGGCAGCTCGTGCTGAAGTTGGAAGTTTTTAGTACAAGTTATAGAGGTAAAGTTGGTTTTATATTCAGACTTTCTCCTTAATAATATAATTTCAGGAAAGTATTGTTTGCAAATTCTAAATAGGAAAATCATATTAGCAGCCAATCACTATCAAAGAACAGTATTGTTCACATTGAATTAGATAGTGTTAATGTTGTTTGCAAGTCATACTTGCGTGCTAATTCCAATCGAATATTCAAGTAACATAGTAAACAATATAGGGGCTTCTAAATGAATGAATGTTCGAATATAAAACCAACTTTACCTGTATGTATAAGTCACCTAGAAAAAGCTTGATTAGCTGGTTCAGGTGGGTCTAATTGGGGTTGGAACTAAACTTTGCAGGACACTGGCCCTCCAGGACCGAGTTTGGATTAGGCATGGGACGATAACCGTTTCAAGGTATACATACCATGGTTTGGAAAGTTAAGGTTTTAAAACGGCTAATTTTCTGTAATGGGTATGTGTGCGATTTTTAATTTACTTTGACAACATATCTCCAGCAGAAAAGATATCCAAAGATGCTGTTTTAAATTGTAATGTAATCTGTGTTTTTGAAACGAATGAAGACCGCAAAAGTCTGATTCATTTTCATTATTCAGACATGTTTAAAGCGGCAAAATATTTTAAATCTTTCAAAAAATAAAATATATTTTCAAAGGGAAAATACTGTGTTGTTGTTTTACCCAGACATTTAAAATGAATATATTTTAGGGCAGTATTTATAATATCGTGAATCTGTTATGTTTTTATACTGTCAGAATCTTATACTGGGCCATGCCTAGTTTAGACACCGCTGAAAACTTTAATTTTGTGGTAACTTAAACTCTGTCCAATTATAAATTTGGTTGTAGATCACTTACTTGGGTTTAACTTACAGATAAGCACCTTGCAAATAAGTGAAAAAGAGGAGAAGCCGACAGCTGAAGCAAATGGTGAGATTTGGCTTAATTAGTAGAATACAGTTTGGTGTGTTTAGGCAGATTAGGGATTCTCATAATAATGTTTTTAATGTGAAATTTAAGGAGCGAAGACAGAAGCGAAGACCGAAGCAAAAACAGAAGCAAATGCTGATAAAACAGAGGAGGATGATAAAGGTGAGGAACTGTGATAGTGTCATCACTGTAGTTAGAGTTGAGGTGAGTTTGCATGTTCTCCCCGTGTTGGCGTGGGTGTAAACTATATTGTCACAACCTTCCATAGAGATCAGCTGTTTTAAAACACAGAGTTAGTCTACAAAATGTATGTTGTGTCTGTATTAATCTTTATTGGCCTTTTTTAAATTCTGTTTTACCATTTAATTGAACGTGAAAATCCAAATGTGCGAATCTAAAACCAACTTTACCTCAGTCTTAGTTTGTGCGTGCAGTCAACATTTGAATAAAAAAACTAATGCTAGATCAATTGTCACAAGAATGGTTGTTCAATAGTTTTATGACAACCTTGATCCGCTTCAAAAAGTAACTTTGTATTTTATGTCTGAACTGAATTGCAGATGACAAGGCAGCACAGTCACTGCTGAATAAACTGATACGCAGTAATCTAGTCAACACCACCAATCAAGTTGAAGTCCTTCAGAGGGATCCGAGCTCTCCGCTATACTCTGTCAAATCATTTGAAGAGCTGCGACTGTAAGTTTGTCTTTTTTTATATATATATTTTTTTATTTACACTTCCAGTTTTGTGTCAGTTGAATAATGATGATATAATATTTGCAAATTAAGAACAAAGACTTAAGAACTATTAGTGGTGCAATTCTTTAGTTTAATATATGTGAATAATTTACATATATTTTATTGATTTATACCAGGAAACCTCAGCTATTGCAAGGAGTGTATGCCATGGGTTTTAATAGACCCTCCAAAATCCAGGAGACTGCATTGCCCATGATGCTCGCTGAACCGTAAGTTTTTTTTTTTTTACTCCCATTTAAATGAAAGCTTAAAACTATTTTAGATTATTTTATGTATTTGATCTTATTTATTGCTGTTGATGTCTTTTTATTGTTATTATTTGTATTATTATATAAAAGTGATTTTTATAAAATGTTGTAGATTTGATCTGGTTTTGCTAAGAAATAGCCAGAGAAGCTGATATGGCAGTAAACTCAACTTTCTCTCTCTTCCAATTTGGGCTGAGCGATATATTAAATATTAGTGATAATATCTGAATAATTTTGTCGACAATGTAAAAAATTGAAATATATCGCATATCAAATATTTCACATTCATCACAGCTACTTGCCTAAAATAATGCACCAGCGTCTCGTTTGACATTTCATAGGAAAAAGGCAGGGGAGGAGATGATGAATTAGTCCTCAAAATTAACAAATTCTGTAACTTGGGGTGGTCACAAAACACTCTCTTTATATAAACACTCACAATACATTAGGTCCCTGTTCGCCTTGGTCTTCGTGGTGCTTTTAAACTTAATTAATAGGAAATTTCTGCACAGAGGGTGAGCCGAGCCGCATATCTCGTTGGTTCATTTCTCCATCACAATCAAGCTTTTGTTGCATAAGTGCGTAGGCTATCCCCAACCCCATCTAACATAGGCCTATATATTGGGTAGAACCCATCCAATATAGACAACATAGGCCTATATATTTTTAACAATTATGAAAGCGCAGCATAATGCTTGCACGTTTTTAATGAGATAACTGATGACGTTTTAGTACCCTACACATCAGAGACATAATTAGAATACCATTAAATGTAGCTAATAAAAAGATACTGGAGGTAGGAAGGGTTATAAATTTATATAAGCCTATAATCATATTTAATATAGCTATCAGAAATAATTCACGATATTGAAAGAAATTCTTTACAAAGAAGCATTTGGAAATCGCAAGTGGTTTCGATTTCTCTATTTGTCGCGCATCTATATTTAAAACAACTTGAGCTTTTAATGATCACACATGCATGATTAAATTCTCACATCCAGTTAGAAATGGACAAATGTGGTAGTGAAGCGTGAAAAAATAAAACGTTTAGTATGCTAAATGTCTATTAATAAAATAATTCTGTCTTATTAAAATTATATAAATTGAATACGCCTATATAATTATATATATTTATTTATTTATATAGGATTAGATTATCCACTTAAAATAATAATGTTTAGTAATAGAAATGTTACTAATAATAATAAAATAATTCAGTCCTATTGAAGTTATATACAGATAGAATAGACCTATATAATTCTATTTAAATATCATTTTAATAAACATTTAATATACATTGAATTGAAAATCAATCTGAAACACTGCATTATAAAAACAGAAATTGCTCAACCTAAAACTGATCAATGTGAGAACTGTTTTTGACTTAAGTGTTGTGCTTAATGAGAACAGAATACGAAACCGAACCAATCTTCTCCTCCAGTCCACAGAATCTGATCGCTCAGTCTCAGTCAGGAACAGGTAAAACGGCTGCCTTCGTGCTGGCCATGTTAAGTCACGTGGACCCTGAGAACAAATGGCCTCAGGTATGAAGCGCATCAGAATCAGTGAATCTAATGCATGCGAATGAACCAGATGTTGTGATGTTAATGTGACTCCGGCTCTCTCCGCCCAGTGTCTGTGTGTGTCCCCCACATATGAGCTGGCCCTACAGACTGGGAAGGTCATCGAGCAGATGGGGAAACATTACCCTGAAGTCCAGCTAGTGTACGCCATCAGAGGAAACAAATGTAAGTGTGAGCCGGATGAAGCAGGCGTCCAGTTTATTAGTCAAAAACACCAAGTAAGGTTGTTCGAACTAAAACGAACAGGTTTTAATGGAACAATCTGAAATTTACAGCAAATTTATAAATCATTTCGAAATTAAAACTTATTTAAAAATGCAAAACGACATCATAAGCTTGGTGTTTTGTTTGATCCAGTGGAGCGGGGTACAAAACTGCAGGAGCAGATCGTGATTGGCACTCCTGGTACTGTTCTGGATTGGTGCCAAAAGCTGAAATTCATCGATCCTAAGAAGATCAAGGTGTTTGTGTTGGACGAGGCTGACGTCATGATCGCCACACAGGGTCATCAAGACCAGAGCATTCGCATCCAGAGGTATGAGCTTTCCTTCATAGTCTGCTAAATGCAAGTGCAAATCAGCAAAAGTTAGGATAGTATGGAAAACGCTAATAAAAAAAGAAAGGGGTTTCCAAATTTACTTTGACTTATTTCATTGCAGACAATATGAACACAAAATTTCATGTTTTGTCTGCTCCATTTCATTTGTTAACATGCATCCTTCTGGAGCAGTTTAGGGCTAGTAATCTGGTAAATTGGTTAATAATGATGTGATTTGAAACAGGTGATGTCAACAGGTGATTGTAATTACGATTTGGTACAAAAGCAGCATCCAAGAAAGGTCTAGTCCTTTAGGAGCAAAGATGGGCAGAGGATCACCAGTTTGCCAACAAACACATTATTAAAATGTAAAAACTGTTCCCCAAAGAAAGATAGGAAGACATTTGGATATTTTACCTTTAACGGGGCAGAACATCATTAATAGATTGAAGGAGTCTGGAGATATTTAGTGCTTAAAGAACAAGGGCACAAGCCTAAGCTGAACAACCGTGATCTCCGATCTCTCAGGCGGCGCTGCATCAAGAATAGTCTTGTATCTATAAGTGACATCAGCACATGTGCTCTCGTTTACTTTGACAAAACCTTGAGTATGTTGTTACATTCACAAATGCTAGTTAAAACTGTACTGTGCCAAAAGGAAGCCCTATGTTAACAGTGTCCAGAAGCGCCATCGACTTCTCTGAACTCAGAGGCATCTGGGATGGACCATCACACATTGGAAATATGTACTGTGTTCAGATGAATCAGTGTTTTTTGGGACTTATGGACACCATGTGCTTTGGACCAAAGAAGAAAAGGATCGTCCAGACTGTTACCAGCAACAAATCCAAAGGCCAGGGTCTGTCATAATATTGGGTTGCGTTAGTGCCCTTGACAAAGGTAACTTGCACTTCTGTGATGCACCATTAATGCTGAAAAGTGCATGAAGATTTTGCCATCTTTTCCAGGGACACCCATGCATATTTCAACAAGACAATGCACAACCACATTCTGCACACATTACAAAGTCCTGCTGCAGAGGATGAGGATACAGGTACTTGACTGGCCTGCCTGCAGTTCCGACCTGTCTCCATTAGAGAATGTGTGGTGCATTTTGATTCACAATATGCAACAACGAAGACCCCGTACTGTTGCCCACTTTTAGACTTGTTTGCAGAATGGGACAGAATTACACCTGAAACACTTCATCACTTGGTGTCTTCAGTCCCTAAACGTCTTTTAAGTGCTGTGAAAAAGAATGGCAACATTACAAAGTGGTAAAAGCTTTACTGCTCCAACTTTTTTTTCATGTTGCAAGAACCAAAACTGGAATGTTTATGTAGAAAAGAAAGCAAATCATGAGGAGCACATTGATGTTTGCTGTGTTGTCTGCAATAAAATACAAATCAAAGTTAATGTAGAAATCACTACTTTCATTTATTTATTTTTATTCTTTATTTGCGTTTTCCACACTGTTCCAACTTTTTTAGATTTGGGGTTGTATATAAAACTGTGACCACATTGATATTGTATGCACACCATGACAGAATTGTCACTGGCTAGTAAAAATTATTGAAGTTGATATGCAGAATGCAAAATTAATTAATAAATCTGACTAATCTAATCCGGTCTGAATGCGAAGGCCAGTGTTTGATGCTTTTCTTGAGTGATTTGGTCAACATGAACTACTGTACTCTCTCAGGTTTCTGCTTTGTGTTTGATAATAATGGATTTAAATAATGAAATCAGCAAGAGCCAAATTAGGCTTGGCTATATATTGTCGATCTGCAATCTTAACTTTACCATTTTAAATGTTCGGTGCCTCAATTTTTGTAAGTGTCTTTTTGAACGTAGAATTAAAAATGAGTGTTTTAACCAGTTATTGTTTTATATATAGGATGCTTCCTAAAACTTGCCAGATGCTGTTGTTCTCTGCCACATTTGAAGAAACGGTGTGGAATTTCGCAAAGAGAATCGTTCCCGACCCCAACATTATCAAACTCAAGCGTGAAGAAGAGACTCTAGACTCCATCAAGCAGTATTATGTCATCTGCAACAGCAAGGAGGAGAAATTCCAGGCTTTGTGCAACATCTACGGAGCCATAACCATCGCACAGGCTATGATCTTCTGCCATGTATGTGCAATATCATCTGCAAATATTGAGCCACCATTCATTTATGTAAAGGGAACCATGGGTATCATCTTGTATGTCTTAATGTAATGAATATGATGTCTTAAACTTTTCAGATTTCTTACTAAGAAAATTCACAGTTTTATACATATTTATAATTATGGGGGTTTATTTCAGTGACTTAATCTGGTTAAAAGTGAGTTTTTCCTTAAATCAAGCTAAATAATATAATAATGATGATACAATTTTTTTTTTAAATCAAATACATTTTATTTATAAAATGTAAATTTTAATTGATAATAATATACCAATAGGGAAGGCATAATAATCTTATCAAAATGAAAGTCAATATTATTCAGCTTTTGGCTTCATTTGTACTTAAACAATCACAGCAAAAAGCAGCTGAAGTAATGTGTGTTTTACTGGTTTATAACTGTATGATTTTTCCATCGCAGACCAGGAAAACTGCCGGGTGGTTGGCAGGAGAGCTGTCCAGAGAAGGACACCAGGTGGCGCTGCTAAGTGGAGAGATGCAGGTGGAGCAGAGAGCAGCGGTCATTGAACGCTTCCGAGACGGCAAAGAGAAAGTCCTGGTTACCACTAACGTCTGTGCCAGAGGTGCATACTGATTTATTATACACTATACGCTGCCTGAGGTGTCCAGCATCTGAAATCTGTTTTAGATTGTATATGAATATTTACTCACCGGCCACTTTATTAGGTACACCTGTCCAACTGCTTAACGCAAATTTTTAATCGGCCAATCACATGGCAGTTACTCTATGAACGTGGCATTTATATTGGTTCCAGACATGCTGGTCTGAGTATTTCAGAAACTGCCATGACAGAAACTGCCGGCCACTTTATTAGGTACAACTGCCCATTAATGCAAATTTCTAATCAGCCAATCATATGGCAGCAACTCAATGCATTTAGGCATGTAGCGAAGATCAAGAAGAGCATCAGAATTGGGAAGAGAGGTGATATAAGTGACTTTGAACGTGGCCTAGCTGTAAGTGACAGACGGGATGGTCTGAGTATTTCAGAAACTGGTGATCTACTGGGATTTTCATGCACAACCATCTCTAGGGTTTACAGAGAATGATCTTAAAAAGAGGAAATATCCAGTGAGCAGCAGTTCTGTGGGCGCGAATGCCTTGTTGATGCCAGAGGAGAATGGCCAGACTGTTTCCAGCTGGTAAAATTGGCACAGTACTGTATACAGTAGTCTTTTATTACCAAGTGCTACTTCAGATCCAATTTGGTTGGTAATTAAAGTCTGGTGTGTTTGATCGAGGTTGCATCTAAACTGCAGGAAGGTAGATCTCCAAGAACAGGGTTAAACACCCCTGCATTAATCGAAATATGAAAGCAACTCGAACACCTTAATCATATCATTTATTTATTTAGATTAAGGTTAATAATTAGATTTCCATGTAAACATAGTCATGGTACTTAATGCTGTTGTTCAGCCGTCATGTTGCAGGAGTGGAATATAAATTCTCTGCATTGCTGTGGAGGATATTAAGGACGACTAATTTTCGCATGGTAAAGACAGTAACTGCATTTTCAAATGTTTGCTTTCTACCAGGTATCGATGTGGAGCAAGTGTCAGTGGTGATCAACTTCGATCTGCCAGTGGACAAGGACGGCAACCCTGATAATGAGACGTATCTGCACCGAATTGGGCGTACTGGGCGATTCGGCAAAAGAGGGCTGGCGATCAACATGGTGGACAGCAAGTTTAGCATGAACATTCTCAACCGCATCCAAGACCACTTCAGTACGTCACATTCTCAACACAAGTTTTACCTGGAGCTTTCCTAATGATATTATACTTTGTGTCCGATCATTGTGTATTCTAGTTTTTCGTTTCTAGTTAATGTTTTTCTTTATTTTCTTATGCTAAAAAATGTACAGTGCTTAACATACCCTATTTACCCTGTCTGTCTGTCTGTCTGTCTGTGGCTTAATTTACATATCTACACCCTGCTAAATATATCCATCTATATCTATATGTCTTTGTATGTACATCTATCTACAAGTCTACATCTCTATCTATACATCTACATTTACATCTATCCATCTATATCGGTCTCTCTATATTTGTATATTTACATCCATTTATCCATCTATCTATCTATCTATATAAATATATATGTCTATTTATGTAACTACATCTATATATCTATCCATTTATACATCTACATCTATCTAGATCTACAAATCTATCTATCTATCTATCTACCTACATCTCTTTATATATCTACATCTATCTATCTATAAATGTCTTTATTTATATATCTACATCTATCTATATATCTACATCTCTATCGATATACGTCTTTATTAATGTATATACACCTATCTATTTACCTACATCAATCTATATATATTTATCTACATCTATATGTCTATATAGCTACACATCTACCTATCTGTCTGCCTGCCTGCCTGCCTGCCTGCCTATCTATCTATCTATCTATCTATCTATCTTTATATTTAACTACATCTATATATCTATACATCTACATCTATCTGTATATCTATATCTTTATATTTAACTACATCTATATATCTATACATCTACATCTATCTGTATATCTATATCTTTATATTTAACTACATCTATATATCTATACATCTACATCTATCTGTATATCTATATCTTTATATTTAACTACATCTATATATCTATACATCTACATCTATCTGTATATCTACATCTATTTATATATCTACATCTCTATATACGTTATATATATATATATATATATATATATATATATATATATATATATATATATATATATATATATATATATATATATATATATATATATATATATATATATATATATATATATAGTCTTGATATATCTACATCTATATATGTCTATCTGTCTATATTTGTATTATCGACATCTCTATCTAGATCTACATCAATCTATATATATATCTATATTTGTCTACATCTATATATCTATATCTAGAAATATACATCTAGATCTCTCTATCTCTTCATTTACTATGAAACCAATTTTTATTTTATTTAATTTTATCTTTTTTACATTGACTCTGAAAGTTGACTGAATTGATTCGTCTCTTTATTACAGATAAGAAAATTGAGAAACTGGACACCGATGATTTGGATGAGATCGAGAAGATCGCCAACTGAGCGTCCGCCTGTGACGTTTACAATAGGACTGTGCTCACGCTACATTTTAATTCAGAGGCTGGAAGCAGAGCTGTGCCAGAGCGGATGTTTACATGTGGAGCAGTTTTATCTCAGATGGTGTTTTTATAGGTCTTTTATTTTGTTTCACTCTTTGTACTTAATAAATGCTGAATGTGTAGTCTTAACGTCACGTCTACGAGAATCCTGCGGGAGCCGTCTGGGACACTGACAAGGAGAATATGCCTTTTCAAGATTAACCGTTACATCATGCACCTTTTTAAAATCGCCTGCCTTCAAAAAATAAAAATCATGAACTCCTATATTGAGTTTTATCATGGAACTCCAAACCCAGAACGTTTAGTGGATCATCGTCTTTCATTCAAGTGTGTTCATCGATATTATTATTAATTGTTGCATTCAAGTACATATAGGTTTTGTTGACTCTTCCTAAAACGATCAATCTAAAGCAGGGTTTTCAACTGTATTAAATGAGATTTGTCATTGTTACACATTTTAATACCTCATTACAACCAGAAGTGAAAGTAAGCTCGCTCTTATTGGCTTCGAATTCAAGAGAAACCATCGCCAAAGTCCTGTTATTAATCTAAAATCATGCGAAAGCCAAAGATTTGTGCCTCCTATGGATTCGCTAGTACTTGACATCTAAAAACAAGCCTCTGTGTTTGTTTGTAGGAATATTATTGTCCATATTTAACAAGTACAAAGAGTGAAATGATCACTATATATTAAGCAGATGCAGTGTAATGAAGGTGGAGGATTTTCTGTAGCCGTTATGCGGTAGGAGACTGCACTGAATTGCAAACGATCAGGTTTAAGTATGTTAACGTATTTGTTCACGGTAAAGGCTGTGCTGCATTCCCATTTTCAGCCGCCTTCAAAACAGGCAGGGTAACCATCACGTAGGACTATTTTAGATTAGCCACTCTCAACTCAACAGGCACTGCACTCGGCTCCACTATATATGCATTTTAGACATTTTATTCATTGGTGTGTGTGTTGTCGCAAGTATTTCAGTCGCGTCTTTTGAAGGGAAGACTTTCTAGATTGCTCAATATATCTCCTGATGCCTTGTCGGTTTAATTAAAGCTGTCAATTATACTTGACTTGTTATGATTATATTAAAGAGAGAGGTTTATATTTTTGGTTGTATGTAAAATCTAAACAAAGACTGTCTAGTTGAAGCTAATTAACCTGGTGCTGCTTCAGATAATAAATGGACTTGTGGATATTATCAAACACATTCCTGCATTATTATGCTTTCGCTTTGTTTTTAAAGAGCGTAACTGAAATACTCATAATGCTCGAGGACAATTCGTTGCTGTTTTCACTTCATATACTGTCATGTTCACCTCAAAATGATGTGGTTTTCTTTGTCTAGTTGATGTTTTGTTTTTAGAGAACATGCACTTCTTGCTGACAAATCAGCCTTTTGAAATGGATGATAATTCCTGGAGTTTCACCTCAGTTGAATGTTGACGACACACACAAAGTGTGCATCTTTTTAAAAGTGGTTTGTGTTGAGACGGACTATGATTGGATGTTACCGGATGAGGGAATGCTTGCGTTTGGGTCTTGGAGCAGCTCTCGGGTGTGCTGCATTCGTGCTGATGTTGGCGACTGAATGATGTATGATAGAATAAACCTATGAATCCAAGCGTGTTCGACAAGCTTCATGTCATTTCTGCTTTTGTTTGTCATGTATAGTGCTTAGCTTATACACGAGTACACCCCATTTTGAAAGTTATTATTTTTCTTCATTTCTCAGTGAATTCAGGCAATGTATTTTGGTGCATTTAACAGATTTATTTATTAAAATATTATTTTAGACGCCAAATATATTTAGAAATTAAAAGAATACAATTCAACTCAAGCAAAATATAGCAAAAACAAATGACAAACTACACTATTTCAACTAAATTGTAAACAATTTTTTGTTTTGGATTTTTCATCTTTTTTTATTTGTATTTAATATTTTTCTATAAGGTAAATTTGGCTGAACTAGTTTTTGGATCGTTCACGCAAGTTCTTTTGTTAGGTAATCTCCAGATTTGGCTTCAGTACTGACTAATCTAATGTATATGCACAAATATAATATTGTATAGCTTCCTATTAAAATATGAATTTAAGAAAGATTTGAGATTTGTGAGGGGTGTACTCGTACGTTGAGCACTGTATGTATATAGCTATCATCTTTAAATATTTCCTAAGTGCTGTAGATTTTTTTCCAACACATTTTTTAAACAATATCTTAATTATTTTCAAATAACAATGGGTTGCCATGTTTAAAGAATATATATATTTCAGTCATTTTGTCAAATACTAGTATTCAGCTGAAGGTGCATTTTAAAGGCTTGACTAGGTTGTCACTGGACAAAAACATTTTTTTTTAATGGCAACAAACTTAAGAAATAAGACTTTCCAGATTAAACATTATTTGGGAAATATTAGAAAAACAATTAAGTCTTCACAGGAGAGCTAATACATATAGATATACAATCCCCGGCCACTTTATTAGATACACCTTACTATTACTGGGTGGACCCCTTTTCCTTCATGCCATAGATTCAACAAGATTTGTCGGCTGCACATCCATGATGAAAATCTCCTGTTTCACCACATCCCAAAGGTGCTCTATTGGATTGAGATCTGGTGACTGTGGAGGCCATTTGAGAACAGTGAACTCATCGTCATGTTCAAGAAACCAGTCTGAGATGATTCACGCTTTATGACATGATGCGTTATCCTGCTGGAAGCAGCCATCAGAAGAAGAGTACACTGTGGTCATAAAGGGATGGACATGGTAAGCAACAACACTCAGGTAGGCTGTGGCGTTGACACGATGCTTTAATAGTACTAGTGGACCCAAAGTGTGCCAAATTCTGACCAGAACATCCGAATGTGGCAGCAGAAATGGAGACTCATCAGAGCAGGCAACGTTTCTCCAATCTTCTATTGTCCAGTTTTGGTGAGCCTGTGTGAATTGTAGCCTCAGTTTCCTGTTCTCAGCTGACAGGAGCGGCACCCGGTGTGGTCTTCTGCTGCTGTAGCCCATCCACCTCAAGGTTGGACGTGTTGTGTGTTCAGAGATGCTCTTCTGCAGAGCTCGGTTGTAACGAGTGTTTGTTTGAGTTACTGTTGCCTTTCTATCAGCTGGAACCAGTCTGGCCATTCTCCTCTGACCTCTGGCCTCAACAAGGCATTTGCACCAACAGAACTGCCGCTCACTTGATATTTCCTCCCATTCTCTGTAAACCCTAGAGATGGTTGTGCATGAAAATCCCAGTAGATCATCAGTTTCTGAAATACTCAGACCAGCCTGTCTGGCATCAACAACCATGCCACATTCAAAGTCACTTAAATCAGCTTTCTTCCCCATTCTGATGAGGTTTGACCTGCAGCAGATCATCTTGATCATGTCTTCATACCTAAATGCATTGAGTTGCTGTCATGTGATTGGCTGATTAGAAATTTGCGGTAACGAGCAGTTGGACTGGTCTACCTCATAAAGTGACCAGTGAGTATATATATATATATATAAATGTGTCTATGTATATATAGTATTTATTTTTTTACATTTTGTCACAATTTAATGTGCACTTGAATAAATATGATGAATGGTAATATCACAGTATCTCAACAATATAAAGCAGCGCAGCTTTTCCCAACACTGATAATAATAAGAAATGTTTCTCAAACATCTCCAGAAGGCAGAACCTTTAGCTATTAATCATATGATAGAAATACAATTGAAAAATACAACAATGTTAAAACCGTCATTTTAAATCAAGTTTAACTAGATTGAGAAAAAGAGACTTCGGTCAGAAACGATGTGCTGTGATTGCATTAGCATTGAGCTAAAACGCTGAACTGACTAATGTATAACCAAGCATGTGTGTAAAAGTATGGTCATGACAGAAAGAGTTGAAGAAAAATAACAAAAACAGTTTATTGACATTTTTAAACAATTTAAAATGTCCATGCCTTGATAATTATGATAAAATTATTAACTAACTCTATTATTGTTCTTCTGACATGGAAGCCACAAGATCTGTAAGAAATAAGAGTATTACATTATGCAGTAAATCAGTATACTCATATGGGCTGCAAAGTGTTCTGTTAAAGGTAATGCAGTTTGTTTTCACTACAGATTTTGCTGTTTGATTATTTAACAGATGAGCAGACGCATTGCATTGTGGGTTATGTTGTTCTGTACAGTGTCTTCCAGTCAAATAGTGTAGTCTAAAATGTACACTAATGACTAGCTGTGTGGTATTTCAGACGTTCTCACCTGTATCTCTGTACTGTACATTGGTCAGAAACAGGCCATGGGCTGGGGCCGTCAGGTTATTTGGGAATGCCAACGAATCACGCGCCTCTAATAGATCTTGTATCTTACTTACAGAAAGTCGACCCTGACCAATAGCAACCAGCACTCCGGTCATCCTGCGCACCTGTGAGGACAAACACCATATATAACTTTATACAGCTTATCATCAGTCATATTCTATGACCACATTTCCTGCATCATAATGTTCATAATCATTATACTTAATATTAGACGTTATTATGAGTCCTTTCAAGCCTCTTGGCCCTTACATAATGTGCTTGGGAGTCTTTTCAAATCCCATGTACAGAAGCCATTTGGGTATGAAGCCAAATCAGTCTCAAAAATAATACATTTGCACAGCACATTTCACATTTACAAAGTCCAATTCATAAATATGTAAATCCAATTAGTAAATTAAAAACACTTGGATTCACATATTTATGAATTGTGTTTTGAATTTACTAATTGGATTTACGTATTTATGAACTGTTTCGAATTTACGAAGTTGATTTACATATTTATGAACTGTGTTTCAAATTTACGAACTGGATTTGCATATTTATGAACTGTTTTGAATTTACGAATTGGATTTGCATATTTATGAACTGTTTTGAATTTACGAATTGGATTTGCATATTTATGAACTGTTTTGAATTTATGACTTGGTATTGCATGTTTATGACCTGTGTTTTGAATATACGAATTGTATTTGCATATTTATGAACTGTGTTTTAATTTTACGAATTGGATTTACGTATTCTTGAATTGTGTTTTGAATTTTCTAATTGGATTTAAGTATTTATGAATTGTGTTTTGAATTTACGAATTGGATTTGCATATTTTTGTACTGTTTCGAATTTACGAATTTGATTTACATATTTATGAACTGTGTTTCGAATGTACACATTGGATTTACATATTTATGAACTGTGTTTCAAATTTACGAACTGGATTTGCATATTTATGAATTGTGTTTTGAATTTACAAACTGGATTTGCAGATTTATGAACTGTTTTGAATTTGCATATTTATGATCTGTGTTTTGAATTTACGAATTGGATTTCCATATTTCTGACCTATGTTTTGAATTTTCGAATTAGATTTGCATATTTATTAATTGTGTTTTAAATTTACGAATTGGATTTATGTATTTATGAATTGTGTTTTGAATTTACGAATTGGATTTGCATATTTTTGTACTGTTTCGAATTTACGAATTTGATTTACATATTTTTGTACTGTTTCGAATGTACATATTAGATTTACATATTTATAACCTGTTTCAAATTTACGAACTGGATTTGCATATTTATGAACTATCTTTTAAATTTACGAATTGGATTTACGTATTCATGAATTGAGTTTTGAATTTTCTAATTGGATTTACGTATTTATGAATTGTGTTTTGAATTTACGAATTGGATTTGCATATTTTTGTACTGTTTCAAATTTAAGAATTGAATTTATATATTAATGAACTGTGTTTTGAATTTTCAAGTTAGATTTGAAAATTTATGAACTGCGACGAATACAATTTTGTAAATGTGAATTGTGCACTTTGTAAGTGTATTTTTTTTTAGACTGATCAGTCTTTATATTTGGGCAGAAGTGTGTTTATCACTGTAGCGTGTGACCAACAGTCCCGCACCGCTGCATGATTTGACAGATTCGTATGCAACCAGATCATCTACTGTATGGATCAGTATATTTTTATAGATTTTTTTTAATTTCAAGTATTGAAGCCTTCAAATGGGGTTTGAGTTATTTATAATTTTTTATTAATTAACAGTTTTGTTCCGTTTGTTATATTTATCGGTCAATGTTTCTATAAATATGAAAAACATAACATAAGAACAGATTTGTTTGGCCATTACTAAAGGCATCATTAATACACAATTTGCGCTACGTGTTTTCTCTCCAATATTGTTGGAAAAATTGCATGTAGTAATGACAATGCATTATTAATCATGTTAGTGTGTTCCAAAGCATGCCTACTCGTCTGCTACACACTCAAAAGTGCTGTTTTTCTCCTCAAACAGTGCAATCTTTTGACTAGCGAAATGGGCACACAGCAAACTTAATCAAACTAGTGAAATAAAACAGTGTAGAGCCACACATTCAACACTAGGAGGCAGACATCCCATAATAATCATCACATTTCTAGGGAAACAAAGCTTGTACTTACTTGTCTGTATAAAAAAGACCTACTTTTAAAAGTGAGCTCCCAGAACTGAATGTCTCTGAAAGAAAACACACAAATACAACAATTAAGCCATTTTAAATCTGCTCCATCACCACAGACATCTCCACATGTGCAGTCAAACAGCAACAGATTTAAGGGTGAAGGCTGAAGACGTGACCTCTTTTGGCCTGTCTCCTTCACTCAGTGTGTTATTTCTGCCTAGTGGGTACAATATTTCTCCCGTTAAAACTAAATGTGACTGCAGGATTGCCAAGCCGCATCCATCAGATAAACAAGTGGAGCTGCAGCAGGAGCACTGGAGCCGAGCTGCCAATATTTAATGAATGTTTCAGACTGTCTTTTTATTTTTAAATGGACACAAACGATGGCTGTAAATTCACAATGAGATTTGTTTGGACTGCCTTCACAGACCCTCTGAATGACAACGTCTGGCTTTCATTTAATCATTTCTCTGAATGAACAAACAGTCAGGCTGCGTTACATGATCAGAGATTAGCATAGGATAGCAACACACTGAAGAACTCAAAGAGAGCATAATAAACAAAACTGCATCTCCAGACTGAAGACAGAATAATAGCACACTGTTAAATACAAATTGCACGCAAGGCATACTTTCAACCCAGGGTAATTGGAAATAGTTTGATTTTTACCTTGATTTTAAATGGCTTGTATCTGTTTTGTGGAAGTGTGCATCACCAAACTCAAACCAGATTGTGTGTGTGTGTGTGTGTGTGTGTGTGTGTGTGTGTGTGTGTGTGTGTGTGTGTGTGTGTGTGTGTATATACATACATACATACACACATACAGTGCTCAGCATACTGCATATGAGCACACCCCATTTTGAAACTGAATATTTTTCTCCATTTCTCAGTGAATATAGGATGTATTTTGGTGCATTTAAACAGAACAGATTTATTAAACAGAGATATTTATTAAAATAATATTTTAGTCACCAAAAACATTTAAAAATTGAAGGATAGTTCAATTTAATTCAAGCAAAATATTGCAAAACAAATTACAACTAACAAAATTTCAACAAAGTTTTTCTTTTTTTTTTTTTTTTTGCTTTTCTTGATTTTTCCTCTTTTTAAATTTGAAATAAAACTTTTTCTTTAACATATACATTTGGGTGTACTAGTTTTTGGGCCGTTATGGTACGTTATTTTCAGGGTTCATATACATTTTTATGACTTTTCCATGACTTTCAAGTAAATTTTCATGACCCAATGTTTCACGTAATGTCTATATATGTGTGGAAAATACCAAGAAAAACAATGCATGTTCAAAGTTATTACAGCATATCATAAACATGCAACAATCTATCTAGTTTAAATGAATCGTTAAATATATACCTAAAATGTAATTAGATAATGCTTAAGCAGCACTAATAATGTGAGAGCATGAGTTTGGCCATGGACAGAAAAGAATTAAAGAGAACTAACTCATATTTAAGTATGCAGATATTTTGTAAACTAATTTCCATGACTTTTCCAAATATATATATATATATATATATATATATAGGAATTTATCATGATTGTATTTATTGCAATATATATATATATATATATATATATATATATATATATATATTGCAATAAATACAATCATGCTAAATTCCTGCTTGCAACTAAATCTGTTTTTGTGTTTGCAATAATAGATTAGATTGGCTATTATAATGTCTTCTTCAGTACACTGATCTGCATCTGACAGCAGGAACGAGCAGCAGACGCTTTTGTCAGCATCATGTTTTTAGTCCAACATCTGTTGCCAAGCAACCGTCTCATTGCACATGCCGACTGATGAAACGCAGCCACAAAGACTGGACATCCTCAAAGACCAGTTACAAAGCGCCTTTGTCTTTCATACAGTGTGTTGAGCATTTATCAACACAAATACTGCACAATGTAAATCTGTCTTCAGCTTCAAGCTGATGATGATGAGCGGATGAAGAACATGTTGATGACTATACGCAATCATGATTAGGGTTATTATTGCATTTACTGGGTCCAAGAGGATTATTGCAGTGGGTAGCGATGTCACCTCACAGCAAAAAGATCATCTGTTCGAGCTGGGTCAGTTGGCATTTCTGTGTGGAGTTTGCATGTTCTCTGTTGGCGTGGGTTTTCTCTAGGTGCATGCAAGTCCAAAGACATGCACTATAGGTGAATTGGGAAAGCTAAATTGTCAATAGTGTATGAGTGTGAATGAGTGTGTTTCCCAGTGATGGGTTGCAGCTAGAAGTGCACCCACTGCGTAAAACATATGTTGGATAAGTTGGTGGTTCATTCCGCTGTGGCGAGCCCTGATTAAAAAAGGGACTAAGTCGAAAAGAAAATGAATGAATGATTCACTAATTGTGAACTGGAAGAGTGTCATGTTCTGCCATGCTTTCTTTGGATATAATGAGGATATTTCTATACATCTGTTGTAAATGACTCTACATTTGTGCAATTAATCCCTGTAGCAGACAGAAATGAATCTAACAAACTGTTAGAAAAGCTACACTCACCTCTACTTTAGTAAATCTGATACATATTTTTGTTTTGTGACATACCATTATATAGACTATAGGCTAATTAATCTGACAACACTTGGCCATTCTGCTATGGTAAATGTTTTAATGTGTCCAAAAACCTACCCAACGGAATTAAAGAGTATACGCTGTAAATTAATTTGAGGCTATATTAAGTAAAACAAAAATTATTCAGTGGGGCGGCATGGTGGCTCAGTGGTTAGCACTGTCAGCTCACAGCAAAAAGGTTGCTGGTTCGAGTCCCATTCGAGTTGGCGTTTCTGTGTGGAGTCAGCCGAGTGCTCCGGCTTCCTCCACAGACCAAACACATGCGCTATAGGGGAACTAAATTGGCTGTAGTGTATGAGTGAATGCGAGAGGGCATTGGTGTTTCCCAGTACTGAGTTATAGCTGGAAGGGCATCCGCTGTGTTAAACATTTGCCAGAATAGTTGGCAGTTCATTCCGTTGTGGCAACCCCTTGATAAACAGGATTAGGATAACCTTTATTTGTCCCAGAGAGGAAATTTGTCTTGGGTAAAAAGGTGCTACAACATTGCTCTAAAATAAATAAAACAAAACAATTAAGAACAAACAGTTAAGAACATACATTGTTTACGAATAAGACCATGTATAAGTATAAATATATAAAACACAGAACCCAGTCAAGTGCTAACGTACTACAGGAACAGTGCTATTGGTAGAGTTCAACAGTTTTATCCTTTATTTTAACATTTATTAATAAGATTCTAGAGGTGTGAACCTATACTGGTCTCACGGTTCGGTTCGGTTACGATTATCATGCCTTCGATTCGGTTCAATTCGATATCTCGGTGCATCGACGATGCTTTCTATATACAGTGTTATATTTTAGGGGGGAGGCTATAACAAGCTGTCTGTATAAACACACACACACACACAGCACCACACTGTCTCTCATTCAAACACATACACAAACATACACAGCACCAAACAAACAAACAAACACACACACACACACACACATTTAAGCCCTCGCAACAGGGAGAGCTCGCGCTGAGCGGAGCACAAAAACAAAAAAATGAAGCACTTTTCCGACGGTCCCTTACTGAGAGCTCCTCTCAGCGCGAACTCTCCCGGCTAAACACATATTGCGAGGGCTTAAACGGAGCAGTGCTCGTAATATCGAGCGAAAAAAAAAAAGAAAGACAGCTGTGAAACAAAACCAGCTTTGTCTTTTTGTAGTAAACACACTTTAGATCTTTTTAGTGTAAGAGGTTTTTGAGTTATTGCAGTCTATCACTGAATGTGTGTCAGGAAAATCGAAAACAAAACCAACTGAACCGCGCTCATTTCTGGCGCCCCCCTGGATATACAGCGGCCTTTGCATTTGCCTATGGTGCCTATGCCACGGGCCGGCCCTGAGTTGCCTGAGTGTTGTAAATACTCGCGCTCACCTCCCTCGCGACAGAGCGCATAGGAGATAAATGACGTCAGTACATAATAACTGGTTATGATTATTACCGAACCGCTACAGAATTGTCCGCGTCTGCATCGCAGTGCACCGAAGAAACAATTAATTTTGACACCCCTGTAAGATTCATAAGGAAAATGAATGAATTACTGCAAATCTGTCAATATTTTTGTTCCAGGAGGATGATATGGAAAGCAGTAGCTCGAACATTCTGCTAAATATCTTGTTTTGGTGTCTTCCCACTCCACTTATGAGTCGTACCTTTGAAAGTGTCTCTGAGAGAATGATTCTCCAGGCTCCAGCTGGGCTAAATCGAGGGTCTTCACAGGGCACTTAAAGGGGGCATCGGAGCTCAAGGCCCGAAAAGTGCTGAAGTCATGGGTTCCTAACAGCAGTGCTGACGCCTCACGCATCGCATCAATATTTAACCTCCTGTGGGGAAAATAAAGCAATGAAGTACTTTAATACTGCATGTAATTACTTTTTAATTAAATATATATATATATTTTTAAATTAATTAATTCGGTTTTTCAAATTGCATGACAAACACTGTAAATAATGCAGGGTTCCACACCATCACTTCATGTTGTGCCAACACAAATCGATTAGGTTAACGTAATCATTTTGACAAATTTAAGTGAATTGAACAAAAAACAAAGAAGTTGTCCCAATATAACCTTAAGTGTTGTGTTGTTTCAACTCACTTTAAATATGTTGTTTGAACAAGCAGCAAAAATATTTAAACAGTTTTTCTATAATTTCCCAGAGATGGGTTGCGGCTGGAAGGGCATCCGCTGCGTAAAAAGTTGTTGGATAAGTTGGTGGCTCATTCCGCTGTGGCGACCCCTATTTAATAAAGGGACTAAGCTGACAAGACGATGAATGAATGAATGAGTTTTTCTATAGATGCTTTACAGATTATCATTATACATTGATGTATGTGTTTGTATATATATATGTATTTTCCCTTTTTTTCTCTCTCTCTCTTTTCCCATATATGCAAGTGGGTGTTTGTGTATCTATGCCGAATTTATGATGTTAGTAGACTTTGCTTGTTAAATTATTTGAGTGACATTTGAGATGTTTAAATGAGTCATGTGACCGTAGTACTCAAAAGAGACTCTAGACGCACCTGATCGCTGTTACCCTGATGAAGGCAGACTTCTGCCGAAACGCGTAGGTTTTTAGAGATTTCAGGGCTCAACAATAAGGACTGCCCGATGGCCCGGGGCCAGTGTGAGAGATGCTCAGGACAGTGGACAGAATTGTTACTGGCCAGATCGGGGCAGTGCTGCCTTGTCCCTAAATTTTAATAGACGGCAACATGACCATGACATTAAATTATGAGGCTAATGGAAATGTCTGTTTCTAACTTTGTGGAAACATTTAAAAAGGTACAGCATGACGATAAAAATGAAGGTGATGTTTTGCTTAGTTTGCCGTCACTTAGTCAGCCACCTTTTGTTTTGCAATAAAATACGTGCACGTTTTCCATACTGCTATATTTTACTGCTAAATATTTTTCAAATATTTAAATTCTACAACTACTGACATTATTTTCATTCATTCATTTTCTTTTCAGTTTTGTCCCTTTATTAATCTGGGGTCGCCACAGTGGAATGAACCGCCTGACATTATTTTGTGAAACATTATTTAATATATGTGGCTAACTTTTTTATTTCTTTTATGGGGCCAGTGAAAATTTTGGCAGGGCAAGTAAAAATCTGAACCACTGCTCCAATCGGGCCAGTAGAAAAAATCCTTAGCGTTGAACCCTGGATTTAGCCATGTGAATAAAGGCTTTTGGAATTTTTCACTTTATTCGAGTGCCTTGGACTGATTCTTGTTGCTGTTTTGATGAATCCCTTACCCAAAGAGCACCGACCATACATTTGAGCTTACCCCAGAGCGCTTTTTGTTTGTTTTTTTCCAGCAAAAATATTTATTTGAGTGGATACAGTCATCCTATTATGAAACATATACAAAGGCTGCATCTGAAACTGCTTACTACTCAGTAGGTACTGCATTAGAATTTAAATTTACCCCTCAACCGTTAGAAAACTGTTCTATTCAGTAAGAATGTGAGTAGTATGAATGGAACTCGTACTACAATCGCCATTTTGTCATGATCACGTGACCTACCCGCGTCAGTTGTTTCACTTCACCCCCATTCATGAATTGTTTCGCGGTGCATCATGGGATAGCATAGCACTTCAGAATCTTGCCGGAAGTAGTTTAAGTAGCACTTTAAACATATTGATTTTTGAATTCTATAAATTCAGACATGCTACTCGGCTTGCATACTGTTTTTAACGTACTATATCAGGGGTGTCAAACTCAATTCCTGGAGGGCCGAAGCCCTGCACAGTTTAGTTCCAACCCTGCTCCAACACACTTACCTGTAGGTTTCAAACAACCCTGAAGGACTCAATTAGTTTGATCAGGTGTGTTTAATTAGGGTTGGAACTAAACTGTGCAGAGCTGCGGCCCTTTTAAAACTGAGTTTGACACCTGTGTACTATATAGTATTTAAGTATGCGACTTTGGACGCAGCCAAAGACTTTTAAAGTTTAGGATGAAAGATAGAGATATAATAAAATATGACGATCTAAAATAACCATTTTCAAGAAATTATTTTCTAAATGCAATTATTTCCTGTGACAAAATGTGAATTTTGGGCGTCACGATGGTGCAGTGAGCAGCACGATCACCTCACTGCAAGAAGTTGTTGGTTCGAGCCTCGGCTGGGTCAGTTGGCGTTTCTGCATGGAGTTTGCATAAATAATTCGCATTAATAATGTGGTCAATGTTAAACTGAAATAAAATAAGTGCTCTAAAAATATTGTTCATCATTAATGCATGTTATTAAATACATTAACTAATGAAACCTTATTGTTAAGTACACTACCTGTCAAAAGTCTTGTTGTCAATCCAAGCTGTAAGAATAGCTTGACTTCTAGTTAATCATTTGTAAAAGTGGCAGAAGGTGGATTTTTCTGAAGAATCGTCCGTTGAACTGCATCCCAATCATCATCAATACTGCAGAAGACCCCACAGAAAGAGTCTCACAGAAATCAGTCAAGTTTGGTGAAGGAAAAATCATGGTTTGGGGTTACATTCAGTAAGAGGGCGTGCGAGAGATCTGCAGAGTGGATGGCAACATCAACAGCCTGAGATGTCAAGACATTTGTGCTGCCCATTACATTACAAACCACAGGAGAGGGACAATTCTCCAGCAGGATAGCGCTCCTCATACTTCAGCCTCCACATCAAAGCTCCTGAAAGCTAAGAAGGTCAAGGTGCTCCAGGATTGGCCAGCCCAGTCATCAGATATGAACATTATTGAGCATGTCTGGGGTAAGATGAAGGAGGAGGCATTGAAGAAGAACCCAAAGAATCTTGATGAACTCTGGGAGTCCTGCAAGAACACTTTCTTCGCCATTCCAGATGACTTCAGTGCTCTAAGCTCATGGGAGTCATATTCAGTATTCACTCTTTTTCCACTGCACCATGACTTAATATTCTATCCTGTACATTATTTCCATTATGACCTTACTGTCCTAATTAAATAATTAAAAATCAAGGCATGATCATATTTTATTGTAAGTGTAATCTAAAGGCATTTGCCCTTCATATAAGCCACTTCTGATACCAAATGATCAACTAGAAGTCAAGTTATTATTATTTGTTCTGACAAATTGTATAGGCGACAAGACTTTAGTCAGGTAGTGAACCAATAAAACTAATACTAAAGTTTTATTCTACACCACCCCTAATAAATCCAGTAATTCCAGAAAAACAGAAAATTATTAAGTGGTCTCTCCCCCCCCAGAGCTCTACATTAGAAGACTCACATTAAAGTCACTCAGGTCAGAAAACGTTCAGATGAGCTCAACCTCTACAGACATTAATTTTAAACGGCATAATCCAATTTGTGTGAGGAATGGCAGATCTTATGAATGGGAGGGAAAGCCAGCTGGAGAGTGAGAGTATGTGTGTGTGAGCAGACATAAGTCGACAGTGGGTGTTGTTCTGCGTCACTATGAGCCCGAAGCTTATCTTGGCCTACTTTCTCGCTAAAAACGAAGACAGTGAGAGGGAAAAAAAAAGCATTAAAGTTCACACGTCACCATTAAAGACAAGCCTCGGTCTTCAGAAAAGACATGTGCTGCTCTAACAATGCATACTTTCCTCATCTGCATGCGTTGGTTTTAATGTTGGCCTAGATAACCTGTAATCATTTGTTTTTTTTTTCCTTACGATGGGTCTTGTTTACGAGTGTGTATAATTCATGTGCTTTTTCCACTCTGAGAGGATTTAGCGTCTCTGAGCGTAGTTTAGACGGAGCACGTGCAGAATGAAATGCACTCACGTGTCTCGTAATGCCCAGCATAGATCCTTCTCCGTCAGTGGCATTAGTGTGTGATGCTGACAACCCAGAGCCAAGCGGTATACGTATGTCCGCGATTGCGCCTGATAGCGTGCGTGGAAGTCACTGTGGACACGGTAAGCTCTGGTGATTCTGGGAAAAGAGACAGAATAGGAGACGTTCATTAGAATCTGGTAATGCAGAGGCAGTTGTGTTTGTATTGCAAACACACTCACTGGTTTCTTCTTCTAATGTAAATAAAGCTCCATAATTACTAGTAAAAATATTGTGATTTCTGCAGTATACGGTGCTCAGCATGAAACTTATTAGTTTTTACAAATTTAAAACTTACATTACACATGGTTAACTTACATCCATCATGTTCTCTCAACACAAGTCGATTGTGTGGAACCTATTAAATAAGAAGTAAATACGTTAATTGTATTTTCATTTTTGTTAGATTTTATTTATTTATAATTTGCAATTTTATTAAAAATTACAAAGAAAATTCTTTGAAAAAATAATAATAAATAATAATAACAATAATAAAAATCATTATAATAATTTAATTAATTTAATTTAATCAGGATTTAATCAAAAAATTCTTTGTTAAAAATTAAATTAATAATAAATAATAACAATAATAAAAATCATTATAATAATTTATTTTTATCAACATTTAAAAAATAATAATTTTTCCAAACGACTGAAATTTTAATTAAATTAAAATACTAAATTTATTTTTTTTAAATCACATTTTATTTTATATATATTATATATTATATATTTATTTTATAAATATTTTAATATTTAGCCGTATACAAAATGATGTTTGGATTTGGATTTAGACCACTGAAATTAAGTTAACAGTTAACCATATAAGGCTTTTAAATTTATAAAAAAAAAATATATTTTATTAATAACATCTAAATGTATATTAATTCAAAATTATGTCTGCATTTGGATTTTAACCCCTGAACATAATTAAAGCACTTAACGGTTAACTATAGGGCTTTAAAAAAAAGTAGCATCCATAATTACTGGTAAAAATATTTAGATTTTTGCAATATACGGTGCTCAGCATGAAACTTAAATTTGTAAAAAGTTAACTTAGATCCATCATGTTGTCTCAACACAAATCGATTGTGTGGAACCCAGCATTTTTTACAGTAATAAGGAAATATATTTCTTGTATTTTATTTAATTTAGTTTTAATTTAATTTGTTATTTAATCATTAAAAACATTTTTAAAAACATAATTTTGTGTACGGCTAAAAATTAAATTAAACTTAAATTTTAATTTAATTTAAAATTACATTAAATTAAAATAAAATTTCAGCCATCCACAAAAATGATAAAAATTAATACAAAAAATATATCTTTATTAATAACATAAATATAAAAGTATAATAATTAAATTAAACTACATTTTGAATTGAATTTGAAATTAAATTTTAATTTAGCCGTATGAAAAAATGATGTTTGCATTTGGATGTAAACCACTGAAAATAAGTAAAGCAGTCAACAGTTAACCATATAGGGCTTTAGAAATAATATAAAAAAAGAGATTTAAACTAAAATTTATGAACTAAAATCTAAATTATTAATACAAAAAAATTTAATACTTAAAGATTTAAAGGTGTGCAAACTTTGGAAAAATAAAAAATTGGCATTTTTTGCACTACTTTTATGCAGAAGTAGTTTTTTTTTTTTTTTGCTATCTTTATAAAAAATATAAAATTAAAGTGTTATAAGACTTTAATTACAGGCATGCAAATTTGCAAAACTTTAGGCAGATTTTACTAAAATATTTACCAATCACAGTGTAAAAAAATCAAGTAATAATGTTGCAATCTTTTAAAAATATTTTACACCCCTGTACAGAGTTCATACACATTTTTACAACAAAAATGTCATGACTTTTCCAAGATTTTCAATTAATTTTCTTGTTTTATGTAATGTCTACATATGCAGTACGTGGTAAATAGGAAAAACAATGCATGTTCAAATGTATTAGAGCATATTGTAAAACATGCGACATGCATACAAACATAATACATTTATTTTTATATCGATGTCAAATTGATTTAGATGATGCTTAAACAGCACTAATAATGTGAGAGCATGAGACTGGCCAAAAACAGAAAAGAGGAAAGGCAAGCCAATATAATAAAGTATACAGATTTCTATTGACTTTTCCAAAACTTTTTCAGGACTGGAAAATGCCAAGTCAAAAAAATTCCATTACTTTTTTTTTCAGATTTTCCATGACTGTATGAACCCTTAGGTCTAAATCTCACTTACTTACTCCCAGGGCTGTTTATATTGAAGTTGATATTTAGCTGCACTATATTGTTGTTTCGTAACATCTAGTTGTTATGAGGTGAGTTGTTAGCCCAAGGCTCAACCCCCAATAACCAGGGCATACACACATACACTATGGACAATTTAGCTTAACCAATTCACATAGCGCATGTGTTAGGACTTAGGGGGAAACCGGAGCTCCCAGAGGAAACCTACGTCAACACGGGGAGAACATGCAAACTCCACACAGAAATGCCAACTGACTCAGCCAGGGCTGAACCAGCAACCTTCTTACTGTGAGGCGACAGCGCTATCCACTGTGCCACCGTGTCGCCGGTCTAAATCTTATATGATTTACTAACGCTATCTTTTTGACTATTGAACTATATAGATCATATTGAAATAAGTGCAATTAATATTAATTAGTTAAACACCCATCCGTAGACTGTCACCCGCTGTAAATGTCCATCTGACTAAAAGCTAAAAGTGCTGTTATGGATTAAACTGCAGGTCCTTCATCCCCATGAGCTCAATGTGGACCCACAGAGCCTCAAACTCTCCATCAAACATTAATGCAATGCAATCCCGCGAGGCCTTTTAGGAGCAGCAGTCGATCAGCATCAGAAGCACATGACAGAGAACTTTATTAATATTCATGAGTGGGACGGGGCGGATGGATACTCAGGTTAATGGCAGAGTCAGAGATGAAGATCAAAAGTCACGTAACCTGTTGACATCCAGTGCACTTTCTGAGATGAGGTGGGTTGTGTTAACTGGATGGGGAGATTTAGAGAAACACTCAACAGATGGAAGATTAGCTCAGGTTCAAAATGTTTTTATATGCTGTTGATGAAATTGATTATTGAAGAAAATGATGTTTGGTATTTCAAGTTTTACAGTTCGTTCAATCTATACTTGATGTTGCTTTGTAATTATTTTGAAATTTCCTATTCATTTTTACAACAAAATAAAAAAAGGCTTCATCCTTAAATAGGGGCCACCTGATTCACACCTGTCTTTTTCACAAAACTGATGAAATGCCACACTGAATTTTCACTGTTTGAAATGCCACACTGCTCTTTTTTTGATCACACCCCTTTCAACTAATTGCCCAACTGCGCAGCCTTAAGAGCTTGCATATGATGAATGCGGGGTCATGTTTGTTTTCTGATAATCTAAAAACTGGTAAAATATATAAAAAAAAAACCAGAATTATTCTGGTTAGTCATGTTATACTGCTATTATTTTGATATGTGTATGTATGTATGTATGTATGTATGTATGTATGTATGTATGTGTATATATATATATATATATAAATATATATAAAAAAAATATATATATATATATATATATTATTGTATAATGATGGTTTGTTCTGTAGACAATCGAAAAAAATATAGCTTAAAGGGGCTAATAATTTTGTCTTTGAAAATGGGTTCAAAAAATTAAAAACTGCTTTTATTCTAGCCGAAATAAAGCAAATAAGCCTTCGAATAAGATCAAATATACTGTGAAAGTTTTCTTGCTCTGTTGAACATCATTTGGGAAATATTAATTAAACTAATAAGTCTGACTTCAACTGTATATATTTAAACCTCAATGCCATGCCATAATCAATTACTATACATAATTTAATTATTATATTTTATAATTATTACATTTTTGAATGTAATAATAGAATCTGTAAATATATCACTAAAAACATCAGGTACTGTCTGAAATCATGTACTTTTAAATGCAATCAGGTCTCAATTTTTGCTTTTAAATACTGTGTAAGATACAAATAACTAGCTACAATGTTTAAAAACATAAAATTTATGATAAAATAGTCAAATACTATTCCAGTTTGAAGATTGAAGACAAAAAAATTCTAAATATAAATTACAATTATTTTAAATCAATGACTTTCTATATAGTTTCCACACAAAAAAAAAAATATATATATATAAAAAAACAGCAACACTATTTTAAAAATTGATAAGAATTAAATATTACATTTTATTTTAACTTGAGCAGTAATATTCAGCAAATCAGTACATGACCAGTATGTATGCATGGAAACAAAAATAGCAAACACTGTAAGAAAGAAAGAGGATTTCAGCAATGCTTGTGATCAATACGGCTTTTATTAATAAATAAATGACCTTTATCACAATATATCTCCTTTATATTTTATTTCTGGAATCCTCTTTTGTTTCTTACAGTTTTTGCTATTTATGTTTCTATTTCACTATCGCAGCACAGCAAGAAGGTCGCCGGTTCGAGTCCCAGCTGGGTCAGTTGGCATTTCTTTGTGGAGTTTGCATGTTCTCCCTGTGTTGGCGTGGGTTTCCTCCTGGGTGCTCCGGTTTCAGTCCAAACACATGCGCTATATGTGAATTGGATGAACAAAATTGTCCGTAGTGTATGAGTGTGTGTGTATATGTGAGTGCTCATGGGTGTTTCCCATTACTGGGTTGCAGCTGGAAGAGCATCCACTGCGTAAAACACATGCCGGAATAGCTGGCGGTTCATTCCGCTGTGGCGACACCTGAAAAATCAGGGACTAAGCTAAAGGACAATGAATGAATGGTTCCATGTACCTGAGTGTTAGAGTTGCTCCAGACCTACTGTAAAGTCACGATGCTGTAAAGTCAGCTTTCAGCACAGGAACAAATCTATGAATTCTTAATGATGTCATTTAGCAGTCATTAGGGGTCTGTGGGTTGCAGTCTCAGTGGTCAGTCTGATCTAAACATACTGACTCCAGAGAGAAACGCCTGAGCTCCAGTTAAAAGCAGCGTTACTGACAGCATCTCTGCGGGGTCAGCGGAGCAGTTCAGCAGGTATTAATGATTTAGCAGCAGTCGCTAATCGCTGCTAACAGGAGCATGCTATAAAACGCGAACAAACCTGACAAGAGCACTGTCACTATGCTCTCTGTATTAAAGGAGACCTATTATGCCCGTGTTTGCAAGATGTACAATGAGTCTGATGTCCCTAGAGTGTGTGTGTGAGGTTTCAGCTCAAAATACCCTATAATGTTTTATAACTCTTTGACACATTTGACCATTTTGGTGACTGTCGCTTTAATTTTAAATGAGATTGTGCTCTTTCAAAAGAGGGCGGAGCTACAAATGCCTGTGTGTCAGCATAGTGGTAGATTCAAAACAGGACTAATGTTATCTTTGTGAAAAACTGAGTCAAGGGGCAATATGGTGGCTTAATGGTTAGCACTGTCGCCTCGCAGCAAGTTGCTGATTCGAGTCCTGGCAGGGTCAGTTGGCATTTCTGTATGGAGTCTGTCCGGATTCCCCCACAGTCCAAACACATGGGGGGAATTGAATACAGTAAATTGGCCGTAGTGTACGTGTGTGCATGTGAGAGTTTAAGGGTGTTTTCCAGGACTGGGTTGCAGCTAGAACTGCATCCGCTGTGTAAAACATATGCTGGATAAGTTGGCGGTTCATTCCGCTGTGGCGACTCCTGTTGAAAAAAGGGACTAAGTAGAAGAAAAATGAATGAATGAATGGATGGATGGATGGATGGATGGATGGATAAATGAATGAATGGATGGATGGTTGGTTGGATGGATAGATGGATGAATGAATGGATGGATGGCTGAATGGATAAATGAATGAATGGTTGGATGTATGGATGAATGAATGAATGAATGAATGGATGGATGGATGGATGGATGAATGAAGGAATGATTGAATGAACGAATGATTGAATGAATGAATGAATAGATGAATGAATGGATGGATGGATGAATGAATGGATGGATGGCTGAATGGATAAATGAATGAATGGTTGGATGTATCAATGGATGGATGATGGATGGATGAATGAATGAATGAATGAATGAATGAATGAATGAATGAATGAATGAATGAATGAATGATTGAATGAATGGATGGATGGATGGATGGATGGATGGATGGATGAAGGAATGATTGAATGAATGAATGATTGAATGAATGAATAGATAAATGAATGGATGGATGAATGAATGAATGAATGAACGAACGAAGGAACGAACGAACAAATGAACGAATGAATAAATGAAAAAGTCAAAAGAAGTGGCTCAGCAGAAGGAAGTCATTGGTATGTTGTACGATGTGAAAACTAATGGTGGACTTGTTTGAATAACCAAATTAGCCAGAGATCAGCTATCACAGATTAAAACATCCAGGACCTGCCAAATCATTAAGATCATTTAAGCAGGGAACAAAGAATGGACCCTAGGTGTAAACAGGCCCTGTGGGACATGTTGAGAAGAAAAAAAAAGCACATCAACACACTAATGTGTCTCCATTGACCACTTGTGATTGGATCACCAGGCGAAAAGCAAACAGCAAATTTATCACACCCTCATTTCAGCAGCACACTCATTTAACCTCCCTTAAGAGGATGTGTCAAGGTGACTTTATGAAAGCAATTTACAGATGACTCAATACAAGAAAGGTCCCGGTGGAGCAGCATGGGATTATGTCCCCTACCCAACAGCATCTGAGGATCCTTTAATTCCCAATGAATTCCCTCTTCAGGGGTTTGAATGTTTAGACAATCCTGGCCCTGATCTTTTACAGCTAAACAACCTCTAAAACTGAAGCAGCCATATTTGGGGCTCTCAGACACTTCGCTGTGACTCTGGTTAAAAGCAAACCTTTGAGAAGTTAATGCTGTAGTGTTCCCTCATAGCATAAATGCTTAAAGCGGTAGTGTTATGATGTACACTACAGCTGAAGACATAATTATTAGCTCTTCTGTTTACATTTGATTCTTTTTCAAATATAACTGCTGTATAACAGAGCAAAGGAAATTACACAGTATTTTCAATTATATTTTCCTCACAGATAGAAATAAAGACAGATAGATCCAAAAATGGATGGATGGAAACATAGATAGATATATCTAAAATGGATAATTGGATGGACAAAATGATAGATGAATCTAAAAATGGATGGATGGATGGATGGATGGATGGATGGATGGATGGATGGATGGATAGATAGATCTAAAACTATACAGATGGATGGATGGAAACAAAGATAGACAGATCTAAAAATGGATGGATGGATGGATGGATGGATGGATGGATGGATAGATAGATCTAAAACTATACAGATGGATGGATGGATGGAAACAAAGATAGACAGATCTAAAAATGGATGGATGGATGGATGGATGCATGGATGGATGGATGGAGGGATGGATGGATAGACAGATAGATATACCAAAATAGATGGATCTAAAAATGGATGGATGGATACAAAGATAGTCAGATCAAAAAATAGATGGATAGATGGACGGATGGATGGATGGAAACAAAGATAGATCTAAAAATAGATAGATGTATGTATGGATGGATGAAGGGAACCAAAGATTGATAGATCCAAAATAGATGATGGATGGATGGATGGATGGATGGATAGATGGATGGAGGGATGGATAGATCTAAAAATATATGGATGGATGGATAGATGGATGAATGGGTGGATGGATGGAAACAAAGATAGACAGATCTAAAATGGATGGATGGATGGATAGACAGATAGATATACAAAAATAGATGGATGCATGGATGAAACAAAGACAGACAAATCTAAAAAAAGATGGATGGATAAATAGAACCAAAGGTTGATAGATCTAAAAATAGATGGATGGATGGAAACAAAGATAGATATATCTAAAAATAGATAGATGGATGGATGGATGAAAACAAAGACAGATCTGAAAATGGATGAATGGATGGATGGATGCAAAGTTAGTTGGATTTAAAAATATATGGATGGATGGATGGATGGATGGATGGATGGATAAATGGAAACAAAGACAGATCTAAAAATAGATGGATAGATGGAAACAAAGATAGACGGATCTAAAAAAGATGGATGGATAGAAACAAAGAATAATAGATCTTAAAATAGATGGATGATAGATAGAAATAAAGATAGATGTAAAAATAGATGGATGGATGAATAGATAAAAACTAATAGCAATAACAAAAACACAATGAATACTATAATTTAACCTTATACAGTAACTTAAACAACTCTATAATTCATATTAAAAATGGTGCACAAACACAGATTTTAAATCCCTGAACAGACTCTCACCTTATAGGTTCTTCTTTTAATTGAAAGTTTAAAGCCTCGAGCAGGCTCTGCTCTGACAAGGGTGGTTTGTCTGCTCTCCGCTGGATATCTACATGAGCAGAGTTACACAAAGCATGGACACCAGTGTCTGTTCTGCTGGAGATGGACACACACACCTCATTCACCGGCTTCAGCTTCCTCACTGCATTCTGCACAGAAAAACAGCGTCACACATTTGCAAACCTCTATTTTAGGAACACGTTTTATTCTGTTACATGTTTTAAAGAGGCCTTAAGATGCTGTTTTAAATTGTCATTATTTTGTTTATTGAGTCTACATCAGGGGTGTCCAAACTCGGTCATGGAGGGCCGGTGTCCTGCAAAGTTTATTTCCAACCCCTATCAGACACACCTGGGCTAGCTAATCAAGCTCTAACTAGGCATTCTAGAAACATCCTTGCAGGTGTGTTGGAGCAAGTTAGAGCTAAAATCTGCAGGACACCGGCCCTCCAGGACCGAGTTTGGGCACCCCTGGACTACATGGGCTAGAAAGTTTAACCTGGTGTTACAAAATCTGCTGCATCTGACAGTATTGCTGTGTCTTTAGTATAATGTAATTACCCGAGAAGTCGCAATCCAATAGAACTAGTAACAATAAGCTACTATAGTAACTATATAGTTTATAGTAACTATAAACAACTATTTTTTTCTCTTCAGTAGGTTATTGATAAAATACAGTAAGTCTTAAGGTTTAATAAAAATTAATTAATTTTTGAAAATCACCATGCGAACCCCCTTCATTGTCCCGCGACCCCTCGGGGGGTCCCGACCCCCAATTTGAGAACCTCTGCACTAGGCCATGAGACAGGACTTGGATTTGACCCTGCCAGTTACATGCAGATTCGCCAGGTCTCGAAACGCTTCTAAACTGATCGATGCTTTGAATCGCTTTAGTCACGTGACCAGGTGTTTCGAAACACTTTAGTCATGTGACTTGGGTGTTTCGGATCATGCTTCGGTTGCAGTGTTTCGAAACACTTGCGCTTCGGGATCTCGACACTGTGTCGAAACGTCAGTTTCACGTCAGCCATCCCTAATATTAAGTTGTGACCAGGGCATTTGTGGAATTAATATCAGGACTTGGATGTCTGTATATTTGCAGATCCTATATATGCAAAATGAGTTTGCTGTTCATCACTCAATCAAGTGACTAGAATCACAATTGATTGATTTGTTTGCTTGTTAGTTTGTTATACGAATTTCGAATATTTTAATTAATTACAAGCTGTCAGAATTTAATCTTTTACTACATTTATGTGTGTGTGTGTGTGTGTGTGTATATATATATATATATATATATATATATATATATATATATATATATATATATATATATATATATATATATATATATATATATATATATATATATATATATATATCCGTGTGTGTATGTGTTTACAGTATTTTATTTTATAACTTAATTTAAATGTTTTCTATTCTTATTTTTCTTTCTTTTTTTAATCAAAGACAAATAAATAATTTTTTTTACTTATTTTATTTTTGTTTTTTGTTTATGTTTATTTTCTGTTTTGAGTTGAAAACAAACTAACAGATGAGTTTTTGTTGCCAATAGAATAAACAGAAAAACTTTTTTTTAACGTTTTTTCTCGCGTTTCGTTTTCCAGACAAAATTAAATAATCGAATGATCGGATAATACACAGACCCAAAGTACATGCTGAGACGTTAAAAAAAGTAATATTCTGTACATTCACTGCACTTTTGTAACCTAATTTAAATTAATTAAAACGAAGTTGATTGTTCTTTATTTAATTTAGTATTGTATTTATCTAATTATATGCTTACTTGGCTTATTAGTTAAATCCGCCCCTGGAAATTCCATTTGACACAACTTCAACAAAGACCAAATCTTCCCAACAAACAACAATCACTCAGAAGGATACCACAGAATATTTATATTTAAAAAATGTTTCCCAAAAGAATTGCAGTTTAATGAGACTGTTGTTTTGGAGAGGATGACTGATGATTTGAGCCCTAAATCTGAGGGTTTATATACAATAAAACAGACGCAACAGACATATTTCAATGTCGGGAAACACATAAAATGAACATTTTAAATGCACCAAAACAAGTATATAAAAAGCATCAGTCATATTGAAAAGCCATTTGTTTTTCAGCAGATGTTAATGATGGTCAGGCAGAAACTGACCTCTAAATGATTCCCGACCCCCTGTACAGCTTGATGAGCTGGAGCCTTCATCACACCACTGAGGAGACAAGCAGACATGTCACTTATGTATGTAAGCGGTGTTATAACAGTTTATAAGTGGTCATGAACACACACCTGTATTTGCTCCCTGTGTACTGGAAAAAGATTAAATACCGCGCGACAGTTTGTTGCATGATTCACAGTCCGTTCGTTTAACGTTAAAGTCGCGGAGCATAAACAGGATTGAGAGACCAACGTGTGTTTGTGTATGTGTTTGTGTCGCTGAAGTAAATATACAAATCTTTATTAAATGTTATATATAACCCAAACTGAGCACAACACGCGATACAGACATGATAAACACAGAGCCATGTGTGTGTGCGCCCTAGCAGCTGTTTGACGTTTAGAAGCCGAAGCGATGCCTGATTAAAAAAACAACAGAACACCTTCCAGGCTGCTTAAAATATATTGGATTTCAGTACTTGGATCTGTTCATCATATAAACAGTATTTATAGTTATACGGAGTTGGGCTTACTTTTTAAATGTTTGTTTTCTATATGTTGGAAATGTACAGGCGGTATCGCAGGACGACATAAAAACTTTTTAAAAAACCCGCTTCCTCCAGATACTTTTTTATTAACATTATCAATTTACAAACTCAAATGGGGAACAAAAACAGCATAAAGCAATATATACACACACTTTTAAGCCCATTTACATTATACAGTGCAATTGATACAGTGTAAATAGAAAAAAACTTTTAGGGGGTTAAACACACACACACACAAACACACACACACACACACACACACACACACACACACACACAAATAAAAATAAATAAAAATAATTAGGATACATTTTTAAATGGAAAGAGACTTCGCTATGGTTTTGTATAGTTCCTCTGTAGCCTTATTTTCTTTGGATAGCCTACTACTTTTAAAGACTCTAAATATGTTTTACATTCATTTTTAAAGCAATTAATCACAGGTTTAGTCTTATTTTATTTACTTTTGTGTATATAATTCATTTTCTTTTCGGCTTAGTCGCTTTATTAATCCGGGAATGAACTCAGCAGAATGAACCGCCAACCTATCCAGCATATGTTTTACACAGCGGATGCCCTTCCAGCTGCAACCCAAGGGAAACATCCACACTCATACACTACGGACAATTTAGCCTACCCAATTCACCTGTACCGCATGTCTTTGGACTGTGGGGGAAACGGGAGCACCTGGAGGAAACCCACGCGAATGCGAGGAGAACTTGCAAACTCCACACAGAAACGGCAACTGATCCAGCCGAGGTTCGAGCCAGCGGCCTTCTTGCTGTGAGGCGACAGCACTACCCACTGTGCCACCGCGTCGCCCTGTGTATATAACATTTACATATAATAATAATAATGTTTAACGTCAAATAAATGTTTTTGGGAAAACCAAAACCTTAATCAAATTTAGGGATGGAATGTCAGTATCTATATTGCTACTTAGCCAACTGCAATTGTCAACCTGCCAAAGCTTTTTTGTGACTGGACAAGAGAAAAATAAATGTTCAATGGTTTCAGGCTCTTCTGAACAAAAAACACAAGAGTCTACCTCAAATCAGATTTTTTCGTAAAATTTCTGCTGCTGGATATTACTGATTATCCTAAATTACATATCTTTCATTTTCAGTAGAATTGGCCATTTAAGATATTTACAAATAGTTTTTTTTAATATGTTATTTTCAAACTATTTAAATTTTGATGATGTATTGAAATCTACAAATAAATACATTTTTAAAATTTGCTTAATTCTTCCACCAGATACATGGTAAGGTCTAGATTGTAACACTGTATAACAATAATAGGGTATATGCGGAAGTATGCTAAAGGACTTTTAATTTGTCAGTTACCTGAGTTAAGCGCTTCCGGTGAACTGTATGCCATTAAAAAATCAGCGTGTTTAAGGTCTGTTTTCTATAAAAATCAGCGATCTCCACTGGCTGAGTGATATCGGAAATAAAGTGAATCTCAGATTGTACAAGAAGCACTGCATTAAATTACATTTCCTCTGCCATGTCTTTAAAAAATGAGCCTTACCCCCAGTATATTCATTGAAGCTTCTGCGCTAGCCTGTTGATTCAGATGGGTGTGTGCGAGTAAACAGTATTTTGTCTCGTTTTACGCTTGAGCAACTAAATGAATGCCAAAGTCTGTTTAACTGATGCATTTTAATTACATTACTACATCGATGCTGTAAACGGAACCGTATACAATGGAAAAAAGTCACAATAACGGGTCACCGTACAACACTCGGCATATACCTTATAAGCGAACACTAGCGAAGATCTAATGGCGTATACTACACAGCACAATGACTATTAATTCTCAGTCAGTCAGCCCAAAAGTTTTTATTACAAAATTCAACAGACTGTATTTTAATCACATTACAACATCGATGAAATTGAAAATAGTCACATTAACCTTTCACCTGACATTTATCGTTGGCTGACAAACACTAGCTGTGCACATTAGCAAAGTTAGGCTATTTCGAATGTGTGCTTCACACACGTTTGCTGTGATGTAGACTAACAATATTCCGTACACAACGATGTTCCGTACAGATGACCTTTTAACGCCAATCTCTAAATAAATACTTACGGATCGTAGGCAAGCTATATATCTATGTAATGTTTATTTCTTACTCTTTCAACCCCAAGCAAAACAGAGACCTTCCTACTATATGTTTCCAAGAAAATTCGGTAAGTTTGTTACGTCCACCTAATGTGCTTGAAAATAGACAGTGGGCAAACTAAAGGGGCAAGTGTCGCTTGGGAGGGGAGACATTTAAAGCAACGATAATTAGCATTTGCAATTAATTTATGCATTACACAGTATTACAGTCTTTATGAAGTAAAGAGAATATCATGTCATCACAAATTGTTAAATAATTTTTTTTTTTGGTTGAATAAATGCTTTGAAATGGGGATATTTGCACGTCAGTTGTGGGTGATGACCACATGGCGCAACTCTCCACCAGAGAGAGCCTGAGAGACTGGCTGCAAACGCTGTTTTGTGCATTGATGTTTATATTCATGAAAGGTCAGTCAAGTTAGCGTTAATTTGCATGAATGTAATTTAAGTTGTCATGCTGTAATAAAATAAGCACTATATACAAATTTACAAAGTTATTTCACTTCAAACTTTCTTGAAAGAGTTATTAAATAAATCATTATCTTCAAGTTAAACACAATAATAGTATATTTTGACATAATCTTCAAACAATGCCCATTTTTGCCAGTGAATTAAAGTTATGAGCCCTGTACAGAACACTCTTTTAATCGTGTACGGGACACCGTTAACACCTATCATCTTTCATACACATGCGAGGGCGGTACTTTTCCCATCTTTTCTCAGAAACTACTGGTCCAAAAGACATAAATCAAAATTTGCATTGTGCAATAGATATTTCCCCAGAGAATGACCACACATACATGCTTATCTGGCTTTCAATGATGGAGGAGTGGTCGTTTGTGTGCGCTAAATAGAGAAAAAAAAGTACAGAACATGGTTAGTCTCCCTACTGAAAAAAATGCTTAAAACAGCCTAGGCTGGTTTTAGCTGGTTGACCAGAATGGTTTTAGAGGGGTTTTGGCCATTTCCAGGCTAGTTTCCAGCCATGCAATCTGGTTCTAGGTGGTCAGGCTGGAAGATGACCAGCTAAAACCAGCTTGACCAGCCTAGCCAGGCTGGGAGCCCAGCCAAAACCAGCTATGTCCAGCTTAATCCAGGCTGGTCAAGTTGGTTTTAGATGGTTTAGCTGGTAATTTTCCAGTCTGACCAGCTAAGATCATGCTGGAAATGGCTGGTAACAAGCCTGGAAATGGCCAAAACCCCTCTAAAACCAGGCCTGTCAACCAGCTAAAATCAGCCAACCAGCATAGGCTGGTTTAAGCTGGATTTTTCAGAGGGGCTACGTTAGCTGTGCACATTAGCAAACTTAGGCTACAAACACAAACAAATATTCTGAATGTGTACTGCACACACATTTGCTGTGTGATAAAAGTTTTTTTTTTTTTAAATACAAGAATAATAACATCACTGCATTGAAGAAAAAATACAATAACAAAAAAAAAGAGAGCTAAAATACACAGCCTCAATCATTAAGAAAAAAGATTGTCATAATAAGCTTTAAGAAACGTATTCTTCTTATTATTATTAATAAGCTTAAGAGATTCAAAATCGTACGAAATTTCAACAAGGAAAGAATTAAAAATAGGTATTGTTTTTAGAAACTTATTTTTGTGTATAAAAAATTTAGTGTAACACAAAAAAATTAACAATAAGATCGAGAGCATGATCATCATCCGAGAAATACAGAAATAAATATTTTATAGACAAATTTAAATCATGTTTAAATAAGGTTTAAATAAGGATGATAAATTAAAAAATAATGTCATTCCAAAGATGTTTAATGTGAGTGCTGTGTGATAAAAGTCACAGTGAAAGAATAGCATTTGAAGACGTTCCCTTAACGTAATCTTTAATCGCATATTTGACGACGGTCCCTAAACTCACTCGGCGCTGAAACGAATCCACACACGGATCAGTGTGTCACAGTGACACTGTTTTACCGGGGAACGGGATATACTCTGGCGATTTACATTCAGTCGCACTACAGCCACCGGCAATGCGCTGCTTTAATTTTAACTGAAAGACGGAATACCTGCAAACATGACGGTGGATTTTGAGGAATGTATTAAAGATTCTCCCCGATTCAGGTAAGAAGACACACACACACACACACTCATGTTCCACAGCTGACGCCTGTTTGCATGTGTGTGTTCACATTATATTTAAACACACACACCGTTCACAACATCACTGACCGCTTTAATATAACGGCTTTTCAGTCTTTGTTTATGTTTACTTCAGGGTCTGTATATTTTGGTTTAAGGTCGCCTTTTTAACACCCAATTTTGACTGTTTAATGTCATAACTCAGACATGTAGACACCGTCTTGTGTATCAAAACATAGAAAACATGTTGTATTTTCAACCTACAATATTTAACCAACAATATACATCCATAAACTGGGTTATCCGTACATTTACCGCGCTCTTGAGGGACTAGTTGAATGAATGAGGGATTTTTAAGGACACTGATCCAAAGCTCATTTTCGACGTTTAATTGTCTTATAAATGTGGTGAATAAATACTGAAATCCATATAATTATTGTGTCGATCCTCATGCAGTAGCATCATATGAAAGCTAATGCAGTGCTGATGTTCTGCTGGATTCGTGTAGGGGGGCGTTGCTGTGCTGCTGAACACAAGTATGATGATTACTAATGCAGAGACGCTGCTTCATGTTTCATGCATGTAGTCATCTGTTACAGTAACATCAATTATTGTAATGAGGTATGAACGCTGATACGCGAGAGAACAATTGAAAGTCATTATTATTATTGTTAGCTTTCACCATTATTAGTGGAGATGGTCATAAGAGTCATCATATTAAGAGACTTTCTAAATCTTACTGAGGTTTTTCTTACTGTTGTGTCCTTAAATTGATGTTAAAAACAACTAGAAATGTTCTTATTTTAATTCATGCCTCATCATCAGTGTTAGGTAAACGTGCTATTTGAAAAACACTTTGAAATAATCCAAATGAATAAAATGCATTACTGTAAAAATGCACTATACCAATTGTACTGATCCAGTAGAAACTAAATTCATATTGAGAAAAGTAGTGATCTCTGTTTTCAATGAGACCCTTGATCTTGTTTAAAAACGGATTCATTCACAACATGTATTGCTGTTGTTTGTGTATTTCAAATAAATGATACAATTATTAAGTTGGCTGGTTTTAAAGAGGTTATTCTAGGCTGGTTTGATAGAGTTTTACCTATTTCCAGGCTGGGTTTTATAGAGGTTTTAGCTATTTCTAGGCTGGTTTATAGAGGTTTTACCCATTTCCAGGCTGGTTTTATAGGGGCTTTACCCATTTCCAGGCTGGTTTTCTAGAGGTTTACCCATTTCCAGGCTGGTTTTCTAGGGGTTTACCCATTTCCAGACTGTTATATAGGGTTTTTACCCATTTCCAGGCTGTTTTTATTGGGGATTAAGCCATTTTTAGGCTGGTTTTATAGGGTTTTACACATTTTCAGGCTGTTTATAGGGGTTTTAGCCATTTCTAGGCTGGTTTTAAAGGGGTTTTGGCCACTTCTAGGCTGGTTTATAGGGGTTTTAGCCATTTCTAGGCTGGTTTTAAAGGGGTTTTAGCCACTTCAAGGCTGGTTTTATAGGGGTTTTACCCAATTCCAGCCTGTTTATAGGGATTTTAGTCAATTCTAGGCTGGTTTTAAAGGGATTTTAGCCACTTCAAGGCTGGTTTTATAGGGGTTTTACCCAATTCCAGCCTGTTTATAGGGGTTTTAGTCATTTCTAGGCTGGTTTTATAGGGGTTTTAGCCATTTCTGGGCTGGTTTTATAGGGGTTTGTTTTAGCCATTTCCAGGCTGGTTTTAAAGATGTTTTAGCCATTTTTAGTCTGGCTTTATAGAAATTGTACTCATTTCTAGGCTGGTTTTATAGGGGTTTTAGCAACGTCCAGGCCGGTTTTGTCAAGTTTGGAGACAAGCTGGAATGACCAGCTCAAACCAGCTTGACCACCCTAGGGTAGATGGTGACTTTATAGCCATCTGAATACAGGATGTCTGTGTTTATCTATCAGGAACCAAGTGAAAGTCCCTGGCTGAGTTATAGTTTTTTTGACAAACACAGAAGTTGTGTGGTCATTTAATTTCTGTCTGTGTAGACCTTTACGATATTGTGAAAATCTGCAATATGCGATGCTGTTGAGTGTTGCTATAACATTTTTCTGACTATATAACTGACATTAAAAACGTCCTTTTATCAGCAATTATTATTTTTTTTAATGATCATACTATAATAAACAATAGACATTTTTCTGAGCTTATTAAATCTTAAAAATCCAAAACATTTAGACTCTAAAACATTACGAATGACTAAAAACCTTGGCATAAATTCTGATTGTTATTGGCTGTTGTCATTTTCCTCTTAGCTTCTTTTCAGCTTTATTTTAGCTAACAGCTCCTACGGCGGGGATGAAGATAGTAAAGGCCTCATCTAATTAATCAGATTTGGATAAGCAACTTATGCATTAAGTATACACAAATGCTTGGCACATCAACTTTATTTAATTTATTGCACCTCTCTACAATATGGATATTGCATATACTATTATTGCGATAACGATCATTTTTCAATGTATTGTGCAGCTCTTGTCTGAATCAAATTTTCTAAATTGTACTTCATGGTAGTTGTATTAAAAATGGACATTTGAAGTGCTAGAAATTAATTGTCTGTGTAGTTTATTTTTGAGCCACCTTTTTTAAGTACGTAATTAGCTGTTGTCATGCCAACACCCCATGTGATTATAGCGTGACTGTAATCAGGGGTAGCTGAGCGTGCAAATTGTCATGTAAGACAGTTCCGAGTTCATTACAAACCACTGAATCATCTTAATCCGAAAGCATGGCTTAATCACCGAAGAGCTGATTTTTCTTTTACCCCATAAGGAACAATTGTCATCTGAATAGGGCTAAAGAATGTATTATGGTTTTGATACTATCTGTAGCTGGGTTTCCATCATATTGTCTTAATCCACATTTTAGAATATAGCATGAGAAGAGTTATGGAAATGCCAAATATTAAATAAAAATTCCTAAACAGTTTTTATTACGCTTGCTTGAAGTGGTTTTAGATGGGAGATGGCAACAAAGCAAACATTACACCGACGTGACGTCATTATGCTTGCCTTATTTACTTTTGGTTGCTAGGTTACCAATCCTACGTTCAGCCACTCTAACAACTTGATGGAAATTCACATTTGTTTTGTTTTTTATTAAAGCATTTGCTTCACGTTAGGATGGAAACCCAGCTAGTGATAACAGAATTTAACATTTTGGATGCGACCATTTTGTTAATAGTCTATCATGGTTTGGTTTGTGATGTTATTTATATGCAGGAATTATGGCAGTAGTAACAAATGAGATTTTTAGTGTTGGCCTTGTTTACAGTGCTGTGTAAGTCTTGGTGTTTGTAGTTTAGTCAGGACTGTTTTTTTAGCGCGGGCAGATTCACTTCAGATGAATTTTAATGAAGTGAATCATGTGGCTCTGATCTGTCATCAAACACGATTGTTCTGAAGGAGGACACGGGAGATAGTGAACTTGTTCTCCGTCTGCTCAGTGCTGTTCATCTGTTATCTCCATGCGTCAGCCATTGAGGCGTCATGAACTTCAATTGTATTAAGTGCTCCATCATGCATGTTGACATTTATCCAGCAAAACTGTCTCTGGCCGTCACAGCTTCTCTGTGCCTCTGAGGCATCAAGGACTTTTGAAAGGCAGGCAGCAGGGTTACGGAGACTCTGCAAGGGGGTTTATATTCTGGGCAGGCATCCAGTATTCCCAGCTTCACTGATGCTTAAGGTCTAACACACTCTAGGGACCATACAAGACGAGCCAGACAGCAGATTTCAATGAAAAATGACTGTTTATCCCTGTATAGGACAAGCGGTTTGGAGAATGCATGCATTGATTTATCATGTAGCAAAGTGTCCTTTATATTCTACACATTTCAGAGATGTTCATCTTTTGGCATTTGTCATTTCCTTCTGTGTCTAGACTACTCAAAAGTATTGACTTCGGTACCAATCAGTACTAAATTAAAAACAAAAACCATTCATTTCTGCTAACATTTGAGCAATTTTTTTAGCATGTTTTTAAGCATCTCTAACAGTGTATAGATTAGAATTGTCAAAAGTATCGACTTCTATACCAATCGGTACTGAAAAAATGTCAATTTTTGATAGCATTTGAGCACTTTTTACCATATACTTAAGCATCTCAAACAGTGTATAGATTAGATTTGTCAAAAGTATCGACTTCAGTAGCTATCAACACTGAAATAAAATAAAAATAAAAACAACAAAAAAAACAACCATTTGTTAACATTTGAGCGCTTTTTAGCATGTTCTTAAACACTTTCAATGGTGTCTAGACTAGGGTTGTCAAAAGTATCGACTTCTATACCAATCGGTACTGAAACAAAGTCAAATTCTGCTAACATTTGAGCACTTTTTACCATATGCTTAAGCATCTCTAACAGTGTATAGATTAGAATTGTCAAAAGTATCGACTTTGGTAATTATTAGTACTGAAATAAAATAAAAACAACAAAAAAACAACCATTTGTTAACATTTGAGCGTTTGTAAGCATCCCCCTAAACACTTCCAACAGTGTCTAGACTAGGGTTGTCAAAAGTATCGACTTCTATACCAATCGGTACTGAAAAAAGGTCAATTTTTGCTAGCGTTTGAGCACTTTTTAGCATGTTTTTAAACCTTTAATACAGTGTCTGGACTAGAATTGTCAAAAGTATTGAATTCTATACCAATCGGTACTTAGGGCTGCTCGATTATGGGAAAAATCATAATCACGATTATTTTGGTCATAAATGTAATCACGATTATTCAAAACGATTATCAGTTGAAGTTAAAATTATTCGTCCTCCTGTGAATTTATTTTTATATTATAAATATTTCCCAAATGATGTTTAACAGAGGTTTTTTTTAAAGTATTTCCTATAATATTTTTTCTTCTGGAGAAAGGCTTATTTGTTTTATTTCAGCTAGAATAAAAGCAGGTTTGAATACTTTGAAACCAATTTTAATAGCTCGATATTATTAGCCC